AACAATCGACTAAAAGGAAAGGAAAACAACAACCTAGGGCGGCTGTCATACCTTATCGGGTTCGGATTTGGGTCGTTAAAAAAGAGAAATTTTTTAAATTTTTTGTAGGATTCTGTGTTGACATGGCTTCTAAAGGAATCTCTTGGAGGAAATTCAAAAACTGCAATGATTGCTGCGATTAGTCCTGCTGAAATTAATTTTGAAGAGACTTTGAGTACATTGAGGTTTTCTTTAATTTTTGAAAAAAATAATTTTTTGGTTAATTCTTTACCAAGAAAATTTTTTTGAAAATTTTTTTTTGAAATGTTTTTATGACAAATTTTTTTTTTAAAAAGAATTTTTGAAAAATTTTTTTTTCGAAATTTTTTCGGTGAATTTTTCTTGGAAAAAATTTTGGAAATTTTTTTTTCGAAATTTTTTAAAATTATTCTATTTAATAAATTAAAAGATATGCTGATAGTGCTAAACAAATTGTTTGTCGTGCCAAAGTTAATGAGGATATTAATGCAAAATTCTTTAGAGGACTTAAAGAGGAGGTTATTTAAGTTTTTAAAATAAATTTTATAAAATTTTTAAAAATATTAGGATATTTCCAAAAGAAATTTTCGAGGTGTAAATGTTGGAAATGATGCGACAAACGAGGACTATTGTTTTATTTCTCCATTAACTGATTTTTCCAATTTTACTCATCCAAGAAAAGAATGGATGAAATGGTTAGTTTTTAAATTTTTCTGAAATTCTTTGGGGAAATTTTTAAAAATCCGCAAAATTTTTCTAAAATCCGCAAAATTTTATCCGCAAGTTTTTTTCTCATCTTTTCATCAAAAAATGTGTTTAAAAAGTAATAATATCGTCTTGCTTGTGTTTTTTTTTTGCTTTAACATGACGAGTTGAGGGAGAGAAAACTGAGGGGAGAGAAAACTGATATTTTTTTATTCATTTTTGCCGCTGGCTATATTATTTTATTATACTTAAGTTTCAAACATAACGTCTTCTGGCTCTTTAAAAATTATGGATTACACCTTAATAGATTACACTTTTTATTTATTATTCTAAAATAAATTTCCTTTTAAAACACCCATGAAATTTTTGCTTCCTTAAAAATATTTAAACTTGCGGACAAAATTTGCGGACATTTTTATTTTCTTCAATTTTAGGTATTTGGAGCTTAAGGATCGTTTACCAGGAGTTGAAACAATGGAAATTGATGACCCATTTTCTTCAGAAATGCCAGATTTAAAAATTAATGGACCTAATGATATTGAATCTCTTTCAAGAATTCGTGAATATTTTACAAATTTATTGGCTCAAAAGAAGGGGTTTTTGGAGTCGGTTGAACAAAATTGTAAGTTTTTTTCTATTTTTTTGGAATATAGGGCTCCTCAATTTTTTCAGATAACCATTTTTATTATATATATTCTCCTTTTTTTAATTCGGGAAACTTATGGTAGGAATAAAAATAGGAATAAGGGGATCCCAATATATTAAGGAAAGGCAATTTTGGGTAACAAAAAAATGCGAAAAAACTATGGGATGCTTTCTCTTCTCATTTTAAATATTAAATCTGAGAGAGATAAAGTCTGAATTTATTTTTATGGAAAAAATGATTCTTTTGTAAAGGTGAACGTTAAACGAACTTATAGAAATTTTAATGTAAATTGTCCTCAAAGTTTGTCCGCAAAAATTTTTTTAAAGACACTACCCAAATTTATGATTCCTTTTTGATTGAGTTTTTAGATTTAAGATAAGGAAAAATTCAGAGAAACTGAACGAACTAAATAAGTCTAGAAATTTTTCTTTTATATTTTTTTTCAATTAAAAAAATAATTTATTTTTACAGCTCAAATATTTGAAGCAAAATTAAAACAGCGTTTGTGTAATGCCGATTTAGACTATCAAAAATTGAAGGATTCTGAAGAAGAAATTATTCGTTTAAAACAAGCAAATGTTGCGCAAACTGGACAAATTCGACAACTTGAGGTTTTTTTGAATTTTGGAAAATTTTCAAAAAAAATTTTTTTCTAGCGTGAAAACAAAGCTTTACTTGTTCGTTTATATAAATATGAAAATGCTCAAGAACAGGAACGCTTACGTGGAGAAACTCAGCGTTATGTGGAAGCTGAACGTGAAGCTGCACTTAATAGTAATCGACGAACTATTCAGAAGGTTTGTGAAAGAATTCTTTTCAAATTTTATTTTTTTATTTGACAATGAGAGTTTAAGTAAAGTTTAGAACTGAAAATAAATGTTGCGGATAATTTTTACGGATTTTTTTAAATATGAGTAATTTATGTTTAAATGCTTAATTGAATATTTTAAAGATTGAAATTTTTTAAAAATTTGAATATTTTTAGAAAATTACAATTTAAAAACAAGTTAGAACACTTTAAAACACAGAATTAAAAAAAATTCTGGTTTTTAAAGATATTCTGATTTTTAAAATATTCCTTGAGTTGGTATGTTCCATGAATTGGTCGTTCCTTGATTTGTCTGTTCCTTGAGTTGGTATTCCTTGAGTTAGCCACTACCCATTTTTTAGCTTAAAATTTTTTTGTTCTCAAATTACTTTATTTTTTTAGGTTGCTGAATTATTCGAATCACCTATTCCTACAACTTCTAATGTCGCCCGTTTGCGTAAAAAATTTGGAAGTAATAATAATGGGAGTGATGATACTGACCAGGAAACAGACGATGTTGTTGGTAGTGGTGGTGGAAGGAAAACTCCAAAAATGTGAGAAAAAAAATTAGAAAATGTGTGACTAGAATTTTTACATTTTTTTGGTTTCAAGAACGAAGCTAAAAATTTTTTAGGAAAAATTTTTTTCCGAAAAATTTGAAAAAAAATTTTTAAAAATTTTTTTTTAATTTCTGAAATTTTTTTAAAAGTTTCCTAACAAAAATTTTTAATTTCAGAAATTTAAAAAAAATTTGTAGAGACCAATCATCACCAAAGAAACGTCGAATTGAGGGTGCAACAACTGTTAAATTTTATGGAGTTAATCGAACACCTAAAACTCCAAGCTTTATTAATCCTCGTTATCAGCGACGGTAATTAAATTAAAAAAATTCTTTAAATTAAATAATAAATTGAAAATATGAAAAAAAATTTCAACTTAGGGTCTCCCAAAAAATTAAAAAAAATCTCTGAAAATCGACTACAAAAAAATTTCCTAAATTTTTCGAAAATATATTTCGATAAACGAATTTCTATGTTTAATACTAGGAGTAAAAATATTTTTTATTTCACTAATTAAAAAAAAATTTTTTTCAAGTTCACGAAGTGTTGGAAATGCTCCACGAAATGTAACCAAATTTTAAAATGATTTTTTTTGTGGAGGCATTTGACAATTGACTTTAAAATCTAATTAATCAAGTTTGAGAGAAGAGAGAGACTCTTGTGTAAATTAAAAAAACAATTAACTAAGCCTTTACCTCTCTTATTTTTTTTTAAAACATCTTCACTTATACTTATTTTTGATAAATTATTTTTTTCTCGTTAAAAAATTTTTGTTGATGGTTAGGGGCGATTTTTTTAATAAATTGAAAAATTTTTCTTTAGTAAAGCGAAATTCTGATTTTCAAATTTACAACTATAATTCAAGTTTGATACTCTTTAATACTCTTATATTACAGATAAACCGTAAAATCCACCTATATCCCTCTTGATCCATTGATGTAGAATACAGGCCCGCTGATATTTCCTTTAATCCGTCCAAATCAGGGCTGGGCGCATTCGTAAAAAAAGATACCGCAACTCGCAATTTTTTAAAAATCCGCACCCGCAACTCACAAAACCCCCCGCAATTTCCGCAAACGCAATTGCGCCAAGCCCTGATACAAATCCACTTCGTAATATTAAGTAGAGTAAGTCGAGTACCGAGTAATTGGGAAAAAACCGAGCTCGAGTAATCCGAGTATTATGATCCCGAGTTCCGAGTCGAGTAATTACGCAAAAAACCCGAGCGGTCGAGTCAGTAACTCGAACTCGACTTACTCTAATATTAAGTCGGTCTCGCAAACCAACAACAGAAACATTAATTTTGCCATTTCTTTATATGTAGTCATTCGAGAGGGGTTTTTAACTTAAATTGTTAAATGATTGAAAAATTAAATATTAAATAAAAAAGAAAACAGAAAAATTGATTAATTATACAATAATTTTAAGTGGGCCTGCGCATGGCCCACGACCCAAAAATTATCTTAGCAACAGATTATACATAGTAATTTCAGAATTCTTTTAAACATAAATAAAATAATATTTGAATTTATTAATATTAAGCAAACAAAATTTTTTTTAAAATAAACACTAGTCTGCGGAAAAATCGATTCTTCCGGATTCTGGCACAAGAAGAATATTTTACATTAAATATGTAGAGCTAAAAGCCAAATTTCTTTTCTGGGCCTCAGGCAAAATTCATGGGAAATTTGAAACTATTTATACATATAATTCAAGTTTATTTTTACTACCAACTATTCCGAATATTTTTAATAATATTGATATTGCTTTTAAAGTTTTGTTTATTTCAATCACTATTGTATAAACAAAGTTTATTCATATTCACTATAAATGTTATTTAATACTTTAATTCTGATATTTTCTATAGAAACTTTAATATAGGATTAATTTCAGCAATAATCAGAATTTTTAAGTTTGAACTTAAATTCGGTTGATTAAAAAATCAGAATTAAAACAAAATTTGGTTCAGTTTAAACTTGAATAGAACTTAAATTTAAGTTTAAGTTTTAATTTATGTAAAACTTGAGTTCAACGTTCAAGTTTATTTTTTCAGGTTTTAAAGTTTTAAGTTTTCAAGTTTTAAGATTAACAAACAATAGATTTTAAGCTTAAACTTGAATTAAAGTTTTAAGCTTGAGCTAATTTATTTCAAGTTTGAACTAGAATTCAAGTTTCTAAAAAATTCTGATTTTAAGAATTAAAATCAGAATTTTGTTTAAATACTCAAAAATTAATTCCCTTTAATTCTGATTTATATCGACCAGAATATTCTTTAAAAATGCTTTATTATAATAAAATATATATTTTGCTTCTACTACATTTATTAATTCCCATTAATTTTGCTTCTATCGACAATGATTGTTCCTGCCCTAAAGAAAAAATTTTTGAAAGTAATGTGAGAGAGGGTGTAATCAAAAGCCCTGGATGTAAGTATCGGAATAATTAATTTTAAAAATCAGAATTATTCTGATTATCACTATTTTTCCATTATAGACCCCAACGAATACTGTGAGTCACTTGACTGTAAGTGGAACATTCAACCAGCATATAATACCTTTATTTATGCTGAATTGAAATTATTTGAGGTCAGAAAGCTTAATTTAAGTATTTTATAATTAGAGTTTCAGACAGAGGAAAGATATGACACGTTGGATGTTTACCAAACAAGATGGAATGGTTCAGAGTTAATGAAAGTTAAACAGGCAAGGTCTGAATGAACATTTATTTTTGTTTTCAAACAAAAAATAAATTTTACAATTCAGCCTCAGCGGCAAAAATGCGCCCATGGAATATTTTCATTTTTCCTCTTCAATTAACGGCGGACTTTTATTCCATTTTATTACAGACAACCGTATGAATTACCGTGGATTTGAAATTCATTTTTCTCGAAAATACGAAAATAAGTTTTTTGTTTAAGAAATAAATATAAAATTTTTTCAAGCGCCCGCAACCTTCCATGTCCACAACCATTTCAGTTTGCAACCAATATTCCTCAATATCTCCCAGTATTTCCTATTGAGTTTTTAGGGACATGCATCTTCTCTATAAATTCTACACAAGAAATAAAGCTTACAATCAGAGCTCTAAGCGAAAGTGAACTGTTTGGAATTGAGGTAATAATTCTTGACAGTCTTATAGGGGGGGGGGAGGGGAGGGACAGGTTGTGAATAATTCTGGTTGGGTTTTCAAAATTTTCTTCGGATAGAGTTTCGGGTTTCATGTCAAGTTTCGGGTCTAGGAATTAAGGAGGATTAAGAGGGAAAAAAGTTTCCCTCTTAATAGGAAATGAAGGAAAAGAACTTTGCGAAAAAATTTCGGGGTTGCGGTTTACCCGTCTCAAGCCAGCTGCCTATGCTAGGTTTGATTGATTCCCCCGTAGTTTCTTGTTTTTTCCGAAATTTCGACGTTTTACTACTGATTTTTTCTCAAAATCCTGATTATATCAAGTATTAAACACTTTAGCGTTGTTAATAGGGTTGTCGGTTCTGAACTGAATCGAACCGAAAAACCGAGGATTTTTTGGTCGATTCCCTGGTTCCGTTTGGATATCCGAAGAATTTCCAGGAACCTAGTTGTTAACTAGATTAAGAAACAAATAAAAAAATTTTTTTTTAGATTTTTGAAACTGAAAATTTTCCTAAACCTTATGAGAAGGATCAAAGAGGGCAGTTGAAAAAGTTTTATAACCAAAAAAATGAAATAATTTTAAAAATTTTTTAGAATTAAAAAATACTTTCCTTTAAACACATTTCCTTTAACCTTAACAAGTGGAACCGGATCAGTGAGTATATTACTTAGTTCATATGATCTGCTTAATGGAATAATTCCTTATTCAATGGAATTTGTTGCTGTTGAAAATAGTAATTTATTTTAAAAATTTTAAGTTTAATTTAAATAATTTAGAACTACTATTAAAGAATATTAAAAGAAATTGAAGTGAAAATATTCTAATTAAAAAAAAATTTTTTAGAGACTTTAAACAATTTAAAAAATTATTAATTGACAGAAAGAAAATAAGAAGAAAAAATTTTTAAAAAATGTTATTAATTCTGTAAATTTAAATATTTAATAGAGATCGGAACGGGTCCCGGACCAGGTTTCCGAGTCCTTTTTCCCGATTTTTAGAAGCAATCGTGATGAAACTGGCAACGGGAATTCCCGGTTTTCCGGTCCGGGTCCCACCCGGTCAACTTCCAAAACCCATTTCCCGGACCCGGTTTTTTCAAAATTCCGATCTTTAATATTTAACTAAGCTTATTTTCTTAGTTAAATATTTAATATTATACTTATTTTTGATAAATTATCTGTCTAATTAAAAAAAATTTTTTTTGATGACTAAGGGATGATTTTACTAACCTGATTAAGGAGTATTTTTATTCTAATATATTCTTTAAAATTTTTCTTAGCATCTAATTTGCTGATAGGTCAAGGGAGTCAACATGGCATTTACTTAATTAAGATATAGATTTCGAGAATCTCGAAAAAAGTTCAAACGAGAACCGAGTTTCTTTCGAAATCTCTTCTCAAATCGAGCTCTACCTTGTAGAACAAAATTCATTTCTTCACATTCTTTCAATTCTTTCAATTCATTCATTATATTTTTATTTGATCTTAACTAAAAAAACTAAAGATTATTTTGCCATTTTTTATATTTTTTTGTTTATTCCTTTACTAGATTAATATTAAAAGCTTTTTAATTGTTATTTAATTTTAAGATTTTTTAAGGGTCTCCCATAATAATCAAAAAAAATTTTTATCACGTAAAGTAAAAATAATTTTTTAATCAAATTTTTAAATCAATTTCCGGGTTAAAAAACATTAATTTTGCAATTTTTTGTTTTCTTTGAACATTTAAAAATAGACAGCAAAACACAAAGATTAGATATATTTTTTAAAGTTTTGTTTAATGTATTCACTATTATTTTAAATAAATAATTTATGCCGAACATTTTTTATGACAGATGGAAAGGAGGATAAGTTTCCTTCCCCCTACATCCTATTTTTACAATAAAACACATTTTATTTCAACAGTGATTCATTACTAAATGTTTATTTGGTCTGTATCAACTAAAGATTATTTTTTTGAATAAATTAGTGTTATGGACAAGGCTTTAAACATATAAATTTCTTTTAATTTAAGTTTAATTCCTAATTAATACATATAATAATAAGAATTTTAAACTTTAATTATTATTCTACGATATGGTTGTTAGTTTGACCAAATTCTTCGGTTAATCGAAACCGAAACTACAAACCAAACCACAAATCTTCGGTTCGGGTTGAAACCGACAACCTACCTCTATGATAATCAAAATTTCCGTTTAAATTGATTTACTTAAGAACCAGAACTTAACAATTAAAAACAAAATTTAAGTAGTTTAAGTTTAAGCTTCAATCTATGTCAAGTTTTAATTTTTAACTATTCTCAACCTTTTAAGTTTATTCAAGCTTAATAAAAAATTCGGATTTTTAAGAGTTAGAATCAGGCTGACCCTTTTACCACTTTTAGGGGGGCATTTGCTCCATTTTTTACTCTTTCCCTTTTCCTAATTTTCTATTTTGCCCCTCTTTACCCCCTTTTTGATCTTTTCTGAAAATGAAAAAAATTTTGATTTTTCGGGAAACTTCTGATTGTGATCTCCAAAATTTTCTAGTTAAAAATGTGAAAAATTAAGCTTTCATTTGAAACTTGAATCATTTTTAAGTTTTGCCCCCTTTTTTTGCCTCCTTATATTGGTTTGGAAAGGGTCACACTGGTTAGAATCAGAATTTCGTCTAAATAAGAAAAATCTGATTTCACTTTAAATATCTTTCAGATAAAAAGATAAGTCTGATTTTAATTATCAGAATATACTATTTAAAAATGCTTTACTATAGGCCAATATTTATTTTGCTTATATTGCAATTATTAATTTCCATTAATTTTGTTGAATCTTTATATGCCGATAGTAGTGAATCAGATGAATATTATGAAACTTATGATAGCAATAATGAATGTCCCTGTCCTAATGATGAAATTTTTGTTAGTAATTTGACAGAAAGTGTATTCAACAGCACTGGATGTGAGTATTGGAATAATCTTTTAAAATAAGAATATTTAAAAATCAGAACATCAAAATTATATTATATTAATTCTGATTTAAACACTATTTTTCCATTATAGTCTCCGCCGAATACTGTGGTTTATTTGAGTGTATGTGGCACATCCCACCAGCAAAAAATAGCTTTATTTATGCAAAGTTCAAATTATTGAAGGCTACTAATGATAATTTTGGATCAAAGTATGACATTTTGGATGTTTATCAAACAAAGTGGAATGGTTCAAAGTTAATGAAAGTTAAACAGGCTAGGTTATAAAATTGCAAATTGTTTTAAGACAAAAATTAATTTCTGATTCAGCCTCAGAGGTAATGTTAATGTCCCTGTGGAGCACTTTAGATTTTCATCCTCAATTAATGGCGGACTTTTATTCAAACTTTCTTCATATTATAAACTTTTTTCGGACAATAGTCGCAGATTTGGAATTAGTTTTTCTCGACGATCTGAAGATGGGTCTGTTAAATTTTTTTATCAAAGCTTATAGGTTATATATAACTTTATACTTACCACTAAGATACTAAAAATTATATGTATACCATAATATAAGACTTTTTTTTCTTTGTCTTGGTAAGCTGATCAAAAATTTTAGTCTTTGGGACAAGACTAGGGTTGGGGTTTTCGAATCGGGCCGAGTTTCGAGTCAATTTTTCGAGCATCGTTTTTATCGAATCGGGCCGATAGAGTCTTTTTTGGACTAAAATTAGATGCTCAATTCAATCTTTCGAATAAGGCCACAATCTTAGAAAAATATTAGTCTATATTTTATTAAATTATTTTTAAATCAAACAATAGTATTCATCATCCATGTCCACAACCTTTTTATTTCGCAACAAATTCTCCTCAACGTCTTCCAACATTTCCTCTTGGATATTTACAGACATGCATATTCTCTATAAATTCTACACTAGAAATAAAGCTTACAATCAACAGTGCCAGCAGAACTTCAAAATTTGGATTAAAGGTACCAACTGCTAATACGAAAAATCGAGTTGGATTGCTGTCCCTCGATTCAGGGCCCTACGCTCCAAAATATGGCCTAATCCGTTCAGCCATCCAACACCTATCGTTTAGTGCGAATTTGTTGTTGTCCATTTCCTTACTCTTACTTTTTCTTTCGCTAATGTTTAGATTAATTAGCTTATAGTTTCATGTTTTTCAAAACAAACTCTGATTTTTTTCAAAATCCCAATTATCTCCTATTATCGAATTTCATCGGGAGTCAGGGTGACCATCTCCAAACCACTAAAATAGGGCGCGGCCACTCAAAAATGTGGCAAAAATAGGGCAAAATTGGTCAAAAATAGGGCAAAATTGGTCAAAAATAGGGCAAAAAATAGGGCAATATTTTAAAAGCTTAAAATTAATTAAAATTTCAAATAAGCTTTGTTTTGAACCTTTTTTCACAAAATTGAGCAAGTCGGGATCAGAAATAAAGAGATCATATGCCTAAGTACAATTAAAATCATTCTCTGACTAGTTTTTGCATCTTAAGAACAGAAAATGCTGTAAGAGTTGATTCATCAAAAAATATTCTTCCAATAAATCTTCGGCACTTGCTTTCAGATCGAAAAAAGCCTCCAATGCTGACCAACTTCGAGCTATTTCATTACAAAAACGTCCAAATGACTGAATAAAATCCCGAATTTCATCCTTTTCGTAGCTATCTATAATAATAAGCGAGTAACCTCCTCACTTTAAGCGCCGCAGGCAAAAATTTTTAAAATTTTGGAAGGTCAAAAAGCCAGATTTCTTCATTTTTTAGCGCTGCAGGCAAAAATTTTGAGAGTTTTGGAGGCCAGGAAGTCAGAAATCCTTCATTTTTATCATTTTTTTTAGAAAATCCCAAAAAACTTTAGAAATATTACAAAATGGAAAAAATAGGGCAAAAATATGGCAAATGAAAAAATAGGGAAAAAATAGGGCGAAAAGTTCAAAAATAGGGCAAATGCCCTATAAATAAGGTAAAATGGTCACCCTGTCGGGAGTTCTTCATGATAGTATAATTTCTTATCAAATTGAATAAACAATTAACAATTAAAATTTTTTTGTAGATTTTTGAAACTGAAAGTTTTCCTAATCGTTACGAGGAAGACCAAGGAGGACAGTTGGCAAAGTTTTAATTTAAGTTACCATTCATATTACATTTTATATATTTTTAGAGTTGAAAGATATTCTGATTTTAATTCATATCCTTTAATTGTAAGAAGTAAAACTGAATCTGTGAGTGTATTAATTACTTCATTTGATCTGAATAATAGTATAATTCCATATCAAATTAAATTCGTTGCTGCTAAAAATAGTAATATATTACTAAAATTGTGCCCCAAAAAAGCCCAAAATTTCGAATTACAGTTTGTGACAGGGGTGAGCGCATTGCGTTTTGCGTTATTTGAGATTGTCTCTTGCGCTCATCCCTGGTTCGTGAGTTTTCCTTGTTAGTATTTAATAAGGATACAGCCCTGCTTAGGGGGGGGGGCTCCTGACCAATAAAAAGTAGTTTTCCTTGCTGACACTAAGGAACTCACTGTAATAATTAACTCGCTGTAGTATCTTAATTCATTGAAGCCACATGGGGTAATTTACATTTTTAAATATACCGTAATAGAGACCCTAGGCGAGTATTTTTTAAAGTGTCCCATTGAGTGGTCCCATTGAGTGGGTTTTTAAAAGGGCATGAACTTCTCTGTGTATAGACTTTTATTCTTCAACGGGTCCTATTGAAAAGGATTCTAATAGGACATGGGCTTCTATTGGGCTTCTATATGGGCTTCTATACATCTTCTATATATCTAAAGTTTTTTAAAACTTTTTCAGCTTGTAAATGCTTCCCAAATAATTTAAAAGTCAGTCGAGGTCAACCATTAAATTTACTCTCACCAGGCCTTCCATTACATTGTGACTATATTAACTGTTCTACACAAATTTCTTTAGAAAATCCTATCAGTACAACCGACCATGTGGAATCTTTACAAATTCACGTTAATTCTTTCTATAATAATTTTAACTATTTTGTGAAGCCTTTAAATTTACAAATACCTTTATGTGATGAAAAACAAGATCTTATAATGTAAGTTTTATGAGGTATTGTCAAGAATGTTAGCTATCTTTGGTGCAAATTTATTTTCATTGCTATGGAATATAAAAAAGTTACAGTTTATTTCCCGAACCATATCCAAAATTTATTTTTGGACTTCGATCTTACTCTAAAATTTTTGCCTCTAACTCTTGACAAATCATTCCTAGAGTCTGATTTTTCTCATTATTTATGTCTAAAACTTAAGTATTTTAGATTATTTATTTAATAAAAAATAATTTTTTAAAGTTTTGGAGAAGATGCACATAAAATAAGATTTTTTACATTTGATTCAACAAAATTTATTTTAAATTTTACTAAAATACTTAGAATACAGTTTGTTCGATTTAATCTAACAGTTAAATATATTAATAGAAATAAAGGTAAAAATTGTATAAAAAATGGTTACTTATCCTTTATACGCCCACAAAATTTTTTATTTTCTTCTATCCTTTCCTTTTAAAACGTATCATTCGACCTATATCAAAGAGCTCTTGGCTTACTAACCCCACCACTCGAAATTACCAAAAACTCTGAATGAACCCGGACCTTTCTGATCTGAACAATTTATATGTCAATCGAAAGAGCTCATAGAGCTCATGGGAATTCGAAATAAGTCTCAAAATTGTTAAAATCCATAGGGGCCAAAATGATTTTGGGGATAAGATGAAAATATGGAAATGTAGAATACCCCATAAAATTTTTTATGCAAAAAATGGGTTCCAAGGACATATAAAGGTTTGTGGGCATATAAAGGTAAGCACAATAAAATAAAAAATTTTCTTTAAAGAATGTTTATGTCATGACAATTCAAATAATTTAAAATTTTTTAATCAAAAGCAGAATTCAGTAGAAAAAAAATTTTTGGCGAAAGGTGCCACTTTATGGACTGCTTTTGGGAAATTAAACCTCCGAAAGTATGTAAAAATTATAAACAGAATTTTTGGATCAAAATATTTATAAATCAGGGAACGTGCCGTCACGATTCACGATGTTTTGGAATCCCGAGTTCCAAACTCATGAATTTATCTTTATGTTTGTATCAGGGATATCTCAGGCTTAAAAAAGTCAGGTAGCGTTTCGGGTCGGATTTCCAAAATTTTCCTCGGATCATAGGTCGAAAAAAGTCCGGGTTTCGAGTAACTCGAGACATTCAGGATCTGTATGTTTGCTGGTATACATATTTATATTTATTCAGGACTCAAAATTTTATCAACGTTTCATTGTTAAATTCAATCTTTCACTGGTTGATAATAAAGATTTTGTTAATGTTTGTCCTGTAAATTTTAAAGAAAGACTTGCCTGTCAAAGGTATTTTTGATAAATTAAAAGTTGAATCATAAAAATCAGAATCAGAATTAAACAAAATTAATAATAACCCATCTTTGGATTGGATCGTTTTTGTAGAACTATCATGAAAGGGTTTCCGGAATTACAATCATCATGATTGTTATACACTCCTCCACAAAAGTATAAGGGCACTTGTATTTTCGGAATTTTTTTACTTCCAATGATCCAAATTTTCTGAAAATTTAGATACACACCTTTTAGTGAATAACTAATAAGATGTGCATCGATTTTTGGCTGATTTTTTATTTTAAAAATTTTTAGACAAAAATTTGCATTTTCGGCCTCCACAAAAGTATAGGGGCACTTACAAAAAAGATATTTCCAAGATTAGAAAAAATCTACAAAAATTCTAGCAAACATACATAATGATATTATGAAAAAATAAAAAAGAACTAGACCCATATCTTTACCCGGAACTGAGATCCTGAGACCCCGAAAATCAACGTAAATGAGAGGTAAGGCTCTTTAAAAAAATTTTTTGACCCCTTATGGATTGTTTTGAATTTTGATTTTGGGCTCATTCGAAAGCCCTTGAAATTTGCTACAAGATAGCAAAAGTTTTATTTTCTAGAAAAATTATCTCAGTAAGTTCCATAGGTTTAAATTTCCAAGGCACAAAAAACGCCCTAATGCCCCATAAAATTAGCTACGGAAGATTAACGTCCCGCATATCTCTATTGAATTGATTCTGAGATATATGAGTATTAATATCTTGTAGCAAATTTCAAGGGCTTTCGAATGAGCCCAAAATCAGAATTCAAAACAATCCATAGGGGTCGAAAAATTTTTTTAAAGAGCCTTACCCCTCATTTACGTTGATTTTCGGGGTCTCAGGATCTCAGTTCCGGGTAAAGATATGGGTCTAGTTCTTTTTTATTTTTTCATAATATCATTATGTATGTTTGCTAGAATTTTTGTAGATTTTTTCTAATCTTGGAAATATCTTTTTTGTAAGTGCCCCTATACTTTTGTGGAGGCCGAAAATGCAAATTTTTGTCTAAAAATTTTTAAAATAAAAAATCAGCCAAAAATCGATGCACATCTTATTAGTTATTTACTAAAAGGTGTGTATCTAAATTTTCAGAAAATTTGGATCATTGGAAGTAAAAAAATTCCGAAAATACAAGTGCCCTTATACTTTTGTGGAGGAGTGTATACTGGTGTCAAAAATGGGTACAAAAAATTCTTGTGGGGTACAAAAAATGTGGAGTACAAAATCTTAATTTCTTCCTATCTTAAGTTCAAAAATTGTCAAATCTCAACCAAAATCACAAATCTTAGTTATTTAATGTTTTTTAAAATTTCCTATCTCTATCAATGCCTATAATTAAAAAATTTCTGTTGGTATATTTATTGATATTAATTCGATAAGTAAAAAGAACGAAGTCTATAAATGTTTTATTCATTGAGATCTAAAATCTTAAAAAAATCGACAGAAAATCAGGGCACAGTAGTGATCGGGTATCCCGATCCCGACTCCCGAGGTCATTTCCCGACCCGACTCCCGTTTCCCGATTCCAGGGTTTTTTCTTCTCCCGAGCATCACTAGGGTACAGTACTTCAAAAAATATTTTAACTCTAGAGCTTAAATTAAAAATATTACTTTGGGCTCATTTGAAAGTCCATAAAGCCTTTTTGGTAATTATATAAAAATCTAATTTTTATTATGGTAAATAAATTTTTACATCCCAGTGTAGAACCATCAGTCATCTATTAAATTTTTTACAGGACAAAAATAATACAGAATTTAAATCTTCTATTTTCAGACTAGATTCAAACGAAGTTGGTTTTGAAAAGAAAATTGAATTTATTAATTCTAAAGATTCTAACTTATCTAAAGGAGATACCTCAGTACGTGTTTGGTATCATCGTGAAACTGAAGAAATGATTAATAATCCTAATATTCCAAGACAAATTAATTTCAATTATGAGTGGATTGGACGTACTTATTACTAATTAATTTATTATTTCAGGGCTCCAATCGCAAATTTAAAAATCCGCAATTCTAAGCTAGAAAATCCTCATTTTATTTTAAAATTCCACGGATATAGTGTAGTCTACCGGTGGTAAAAGTTCGGCAAGTGACATATGGCATTCGATTCGTCTCGACAAGTTCAGTTGAACTGTACCACTCCCTACTTTAGAAAATAATTCTGGACCGAGTTATAGGTCTCAAAAAATCGAAAAACCATAGGTTGGAACAAAAATTACTTTGATTGAACAAGTTTGAGTCGAGATATAGAGCTCGAAATGCCTTAATTATAATGATTACAAAGATAATTTTATGAATTCTATTGAAAAAAAACTACGAATTTTATATTAGAATTCTGATTTTATAACCAGAAATCCAGTTTTCACAACCATAGTTTTGTATATTCTATTCACAAATTCTGATTTTCATAAATTTTTTAATTTAAATTTTAAAAGAATGCGAATGTGGAGATACTCATTTAAAAGCAGACATAGACAATTGGAAACTTTTATATTCTCCTGATTATCCAAAAAATTATTGTGCTTCGATGAATTGTTTATGGAATTTAGTAGCTCCAAAAGGCTATCATTTAGTTGTTAAAATTTCAAAATTTTATACTGAAGAGAATCAAGATTTTTTGACAATTTTTGATGGAGATGACACCAATCAGAAACATTTAGAAATGTTAATTTTTTAGAATTCTGATTTTAAAACCAGAATACCGACTTTTAAAAAATTAGAAAATTTCAGAGAAATGCTTATTTCTAGGAGGTTGTTCCCCGACGAGGGGGGGGGGAGGGGGGGGGATTAGAAAATTTCAGAGAAATGCTTATTTCTAGGAGGTTGTTCCCCGACGAGGGGGGGGAGGGCCAGGGGGGGGAGGGGGGGGGGATTAGATTTTCGGGGAGGCAGCGCCACGGGGGGGGGGGGGGAGGGACGGGGGAAATTTTTTATTTTTTACGGGGGGGGGGACGGTGACGGGGAAAATTTTTTGTATTTTTTACGGGGGGGGGGGGGACGGTGACGGGGAACAACCCTACTTATTTTTAAATGAAAATTAGAATTTTTCATTTAAAGTGAAATAATTTTTTAGGCTTTCTGGAAGGCTTACGTCAAATAAAATAATAAAAAGTAAACAAAATACAATGACAATTTCTTTCCATTCTGATATTGATACTCAAATGAGTGGATTTGTAGTATGGTATAAAGCTGGTAAGTTGAAGCTTCTGATTTTTGTACATAAAATCAGAATTAAAATCAGAATTAAAATCAGAATTAAAAAAATCAGAATTTTATGTTGTTACGGATTCAGAATTATATCAGAATATTTCTGATATGAAAATCAGAATATTAATCTAATATAAATTCTGGTTTAAAACAAAACCAGAATTTTTCTATTAAAATTAGAGTAGCACTCCGAGCCTTTGGGGGCGGGATCGTAGAGGATCGGGGTTTGACATGGTATAGCTATTGCATGTCGTGTCGGGGTTTTGCTTAAAAATTCGTCGGAGGGTGGGTCGGGGTTTCGCGGGACGGTGCGCTACCCTAATTCACATTATGATTTATTTATGAAAATTTTAAAAGAACTAAAATTTTGTTCAGAATTTTTAAAAATTTTATCAGAATTTATTCAATTCAATTCAATTTATACGTATAAAAACGTGACATTCAGATAAAATAAAGTAAAGTAAACGTGACAATAATTTAAATTTAAATCGCTAAGGGTCTGGAGACATTTGAATGGAATGTGGCTATGATAAAATATTGTTTATGTTAAAATTGTTTAGGAGCTTTGGAAACAATTCGATTGACGATTTTTGTAATTCTGTTGGAAGTTTTCTGTAAATGTTTGGTATGTCTATAAAAAATGAGTTTTTCCGAATGGTGCTTGAACAAAAGGGGATAAATAGGTTATGTGGATTACCTCTAGTAGTGGTAGGGAGAATGCTATATGTATTATCGTGTTTTAGATTAATTTTACCTAAAATGATATTATGGAAAAGGATAAGATTAGATTTTAGACGTCTATGCGATAGAGATTCAAGTTTAAATAGGTCTAGGAGTTCTTTATAATTAGGTAAGGTTGGACTGTTGTTATGTTTTATAGAGCGTAAATATATTATTTTTAAAAATTTATGTTGAACATTTTCTAAAGCGTTAATGTCTTTACTTAGATAAGGGTTAATTATAGGAGATCCAAACTCAAGGATAGGTAAGACATATATTTTGAATAAAGTAATTAGGAATTGTGTATTATTAGTTTTAAGGGATCTTATAAGAGTATAATAAATTCCAGTTGCTTTATTTGTTACAATTTTAATGTGAGAATCCCATTTCAGGTTTGATGTAAAATAGATGCCAAGATCACGAATAGGTTCGTTGTGTGGAATAATTGGTATATTAATGTTTTGTAGAGTATATTGGTGGAAGGGATTTTTAGTTCCTATGTGAAAAGAACTGCATTTGCTGACAGCGATTTTAAGGCCATTTATTTCGCAGTATTTTGAGAATGTTTGGATAAATTTTTGGAGTGGAGAATAGTGATTTTTGTTTAAGAAGTCAAAGCAGGTATAGGCCTTTAAATCGTCAGCAAATAATTTGGGTGTTACATTTTCTGTTTCACAGATATCTATTATATCAAAAATATATGAGATGAATAAAATTGGGCCAAGAATGGATCCTTGAGGAACTCCGCTTGTTATAGGATATTCATTAGAGTTATTAGATTCGACAAGAACAGTAAAAGTTCGATTTAACAGATAATCCTCAATCCAATTTAGTAAAGCGCCAGTGATGCCTAGATGATTGAGTTTTTTCAGAAGGCGATCGTGGGGAACAGTATCAAAAGCTTTTGCCAGGTCGAAGAATATAACGTCAACACATTTCTTATTTTCTATAGCTAATGTATAGTCGTTATAAGTTTCTAGGAGTTGAGTTATAACTGAATGGTTTTTACGGAAACCATGTTGGCAGGTGGGAAGATAATTGTTAGTTTCAAGAAATGAAGTCAATTTATTAGAGATAATCCGTTCTAAAATTTTAGAGGTTGAGCATAAGAGAGAGATAGGTCGAAAATCCTTGGGTTCATTTGGATTATTATTTTTGGGAATTGGTCGGATTATTGACTTTTTCCAAATAGTCGGAATTTTACTTGTCATGATTGACATATTAAATATAATTGTTAATGGAATGGTTAATGAAGTTGCGGTGTTTTTTAAGAAAATGTTGGGAATTCCGTCCGGAGATAGGTTATTAACATTGTCAAGTTTGCTTATAATGTTATAGATTTCCTCTGGATTGATATCAATAAAAGATAAAGTATTTTTGTTAAAAGCTTTTATGTCAGAGGAGTCAAAGTTAGAAGAGTTAAAAACAGATTGGAATTGTTTGGCGAGACATTCGGCTTTATCTTTGGCTGAAATGGTAAATTGATTGTTATTGTTGAAGATTGGGATTTTGGTTTTTTTGGATTTAAGGAAGGCGCCTATATACTGGAATTTAGATCGGGAATCATTGAATTTTGAGATTTCTCTATTTTTAAAGAAACGAGAAATTTCTTTATCGATTTTCTGTTGAGTGAAAATGTATTTTTCACGGGTAGTAGGTTTATTAATATTTTTCCATAAAAGGTTTTTATATGAGATCATTTTTTGAATATGTTTAGGGAATTTAGCAATATCTTTATTGATCATTTTTAGTGGTATGAAATTTTGGATAATTTGATGAATGATTTCTAAAAATAGGGTATATTGAGAATCTACATTGGTACAATTTATAAACAAAGTATTCCAGTTTAAACCGATTAGAATATTGTTAATTTGATTGTAATCGGCATTGTGGAAGTCATGAATGAATTCTGGTTCTTTTGGAAAACAATTGAAATTTAAGTTAAATTCAATGGTGTTATGGTCAGAATTTTTGAATGGGGCATTAATGGTAATATTTTTGGCAACGCGAGAGGTGGAAGAGGAGAAAAGTAGATCAAGATAATTACTTTGTCTCGTTGGAGAAGAGATTTCTTGAAATAGATTACAGTTTTCTACGAAATCAATAAATAATTTTTCAGACGGTGATTTATGATTGAGAGCTTGCGGTATATTATCCTCCCAGATTAGATTGGGGAAATTAAAATCACCTACAATTATGTAGTTATGATTAATAGATATTAGGTAACTTAAGATCTCAAGAAGTTCCTGGAAGTCATTTAAATTTTCGTTTGTTGTAGGGCGGTAAACTGTTATTATTCTAAATTTGTCAAATTTTGGGGAATAAATGTCTATAGCTACAACATCGGAATTTTTATTTTTAGGAATTTTAACGGGAGAAAAAGGAACTATATTATCTACTAAAATACATGCACCGCCGCCCCTAGAACCTCTATCGCATCTAACGATGGAATAAGATGTACTATGTAAAATTTGGGAATTATCGATTTTTTTGTTCAACCACGATTCGGAAACACAAATTATTTTAAAGGATTTAGAAATTAAAAGTAATCTTAAGGCATCTAATTTGTTAACTAAGCTCCGGCTATTAAAATAAAGACATTTATAAAAAGGGGATTTATTTAAAAAATTTTTTAAAACCTTGAATCTTGGACGACCACTTAGTGGTTTTTTGTTCTTTCAGTCACATTGGCACTCATTCTTTTATTGTATTCATCTCGCTTCTTAGTACGTTCAATTTTCTCAGTTTCCAATTGTTCACGAGTAAGACTTGGCCTAATCAATAAACGAGACCATTTAGCTTCTTTTTTCATTTCCACTCTGTGACGTTTCCATTCAGCAAGTGTAATTCGCTGAAACTTTGAAGCACCAAAAACAATTTTAAGTAAACGACAACCTTTAGCAGTTGGGTCATACTTACCCATTCTGTATGAAACGAATGGGCTCTCAACCCCCAACAAGTTGAGTACATCTTCGATTGCGGCTTTATCTTCGACAACACGAATTGATGGTGTTGTTGATTTAGATTCTTGTAGACCAATAACAACAATTGAACGGTTACGCTCTTGTTCGCTTGCTGATGACTCATTGTTTTTAAAATTAGTTTCAATTGTTGTTTCAATTGTTTGAATTTTTGATTCAATTGTTGTTAAAGCATTTTTAATTTGAAGAATTTCATTAGAAAAAGACGAAAATTTTGTGTTGTTATTATCGATTTTTAATTCTAAAGCAGCCAATTTTTCCATTATTTGTTGTAATTCAGTTTTTGTGGGTGCCATTACGGCGTATTGATTTTTTATCTGAAATCTTTTTCTTGGGTAATTAACCTTTTTTCTATAAGAAAAAAGGTTAATTACTATAAGAAAATCAGAATTACTATAAGAAAATAATTACTATAAGAAAATTTAATTACTATAAGAAAATCTGATTATCTATAAGAAAATCAGAATTTTTAAATTTCAGAATTTTTAAAGTTCAGAATAGAATTTAGCTATAAAGTATCATTATTCTGATTTTATTTAACAGAAAAAATAAAGTTTAAATCAAAATTTTATGTTGCTACGAATTAATAATTCGATCAGAATATTTTTGATATAAAAATCAGAATGTTAATCTAATATAAATTCTGGTTTAATACAAAATCAGAATTTTTCTATTTAAATTCTATGATTTACCTATATATAAATCAGAATTTTTATTTAAAACAAAACCAGGATTTTTAAATTTCAGAATTTTAAAATTTCAGGATTTTTAAATTTCAAAATTTTTAAATTTCAGAATTTTAAAATTCAGAATAGTATTCAGCTCTATAGTATAATTATTCTGATTTTAAACTAGGGTTTGACCCCGAACGCTCGGGGGCGGGTATGTCGGGGTACGGGGTTTTCGAATTGTTTCGGGGCGGGGTTCGGGTCGGGGGAGCAAAATATGGTCGGGGTTCGGGTCGGGGTACGGGGTTTTAGGAAAAAATTTAAAAAAAAAATGCTCTAAAAATGAGCCATTTTGGGTCTATTTTCGTTAATAATTCACAAATTAATGAGAATAAGGTGTGATTAAATGGAAATATGAGAAATTTGAGTGATTAATTGGATCTGGAGGTGATTAAGGAGGATTTGGAGGGATTAAAGCGGATATCTGGGGATATAAGAGGATTTGTAGGGACTAAGGGTAGTTTCAAGGCGGGTTCTCTCTCTCTTCTGTCTGTGGTTCTTCTGTCCTTGGGTCTTCTGTCTGTGGGTCTTCTGTCACTACGCCGTTTCAAGGGATATCATTGATTTAAGGGTTATCGAGTGATTAGGGATTTGGAGGATATCAGTGTAACTCTTTCTTTTCTGCGCCGCAGGCAAAATTTTGAGAATTTCATAAGGCCAAGAAGCCAGATTTTTTCGTTTTTTTGCGCCGCAGGCGAAAATTTTTAAAATTTTTTAGGTCAAAAAGCCGGATGTCTTCGCTTATTTTAGCGCTGACCAAGAAAATTTTTGAAATTTTAGCTAAACAAAAAATCTTTACATTGTTTTTTATGGTTGATACTATTTAAAAATAAGATTTACATTTTAAATTAAAATTAAGTTCTTGATTTTGTAAAGAAAAATCCCAAAACAAACGAGCCCAGCTTATTTCGATCCGAACCCAACCCTATATTAATGGAAATATAGGCTAAAACCAACAACTAAGCCACTCAACCACAAGTCTCTTAACATAGCAGGAAAAAGAATTTTGATATTTCTTTTATTTTTCTTTCAAAAATAATAAAGGTAAAGTAAATTGGGAGTAAATTTTTAAAATTTTTCTCTTAAAATTCTCCCAAAAATGGCATTTTTTGGTATATAAAACCCCCGATAACCCCGAAACTTTTCGGGTCGGGGTACGGGGTTTTCACTTTTTTTCGGGGCGGGGTTCGGGTCGGGGAGAATCGTGAAAAAATCGTTCGGGAACGGGGTCGGGGTTCGGGGTACGGGGTCGGGGTCAAACCCTATTTTAAACATCAGAAAAAATAAAGTTTAAATCAGAATTTATTTTACAATTAAAAAATCAGAATTTACAACTAATTTTTCTAGTTATTGGATAGATTTACTTTTCGTTTTACTCGCAATAAAAATACAGAACAAGAATAAATAGTTGAAATAAAGATAATTTTTTAAATATTTTTCTTATAATAAATAAATAAATATTAAATTAATTTATTTGAGAATTTTTTATTTTAATTTTTAATTATATTAAATCCTTATTTTTGCGCTCAGATTTGCTTTGTTGTCCAACAGCTGGACAGAAAAAACTCAATAATTTTTGTCCTTATTTTAATTTATGAGATAACGTTGCATGATTTGAACATTAAATTTATTTTCCTTAATCGGTAATTCTCCAGCAATTTTTTGCTCAAAGTTCTAATCAATTGATGACCCTAACCACGCAAGGCACCTGATTTTTTATTAGAGAGCGAGCTGGATCTGGATCCAGACCTTGATTTTTCCTGGATCCAGAGTCCAGATCAAGGCATTTTTCAGAGTTCCTTGATTTTTCCTTGACTCAAGGTCAAGAATCTGGTCAAGGTACCCAATCAAAATCAAGAATCAAGGTCAAGGTCAAGGTTTTTTTTTAATCTCGCTCTCTATTTTTTATAGAAAATTTAATTTTTAATTTATTAAATTTTTGTTTTTAGTTCAATCATAATTAATACAAAAAAGTTTATTTACACAAAAAATTTTTTTTTTGTTTATTATTTTTTTTATAAACAATAATAATAGACATTTAATAATGAGACGATTTTTGTCATTTAATATGCTTATTTTTCTGTTATTTTTTATAAAAGCTGAAATATTATAAGTTGTCCAGACGGTACCATATTGCCGATAGTAATGCGATTCTTGCAGACCGACATTTGCGGATGCGGATCAGATAGGATATCCTAAAATTTTTGGATTTAATATCTTATTCGGATATCAATGCATACTCAAGCATCCGTCAACCCTTAAATCGTAGTACTTTTTAGAAATGCTTTACTATAAGCTAACATTTATTTTGCTTCTACAGTTATTAATTTCCATATCTGCCGAATCTTCCGATAGCAACAATGATGGTTCCTGTCCTAAAGAAAAGATTTTTGATAGTAATGCAAAAGAGGGTGTAATTAAAAGCCCTGGATGTGAGTATTGGAATAATCTTCTATTATGAGTATTTTTCCATATAGTAGACTCCACCGAAGGCAGTGATTTACTTGATTGTAAATGGAACATTTTACCGTCAGAAAATACCTTTATTCATTTTGAATTTGAACGATTTAATTATTATTTTGGCCTAGTCAGTATCTATTCCAATGAAAGTTTATTAGTCAATTCAAAGCTTACAATAAAGATTTATGAGTCCAATCAAGATTTTATGATATATTTGTGCTTTTGTGTTATCGGAACTTAGAAACCAGATGCGTTTTTGTGTTGAAAGACTTGTTGAATTTTTGAGAAATATTGAATGACTCAAAGGTGGCGGAATATAATATAACTCCCTCGACCGATTGAAGAATTTTCAAAAAGTGGAATTCGAAGTAAAATTGATGGAGCTTGAATTGATCAACGAAAATGAATGCTAGAAGGACGATACCGTATTTACTCGATTAATTCCCCATCCTCAAATAATTCCCCTCTCTCTATTAATTCCCCATGCCAGAGATGAGTTGAAAAAATAATCCCCCTTCCCCAAATACCCTAATAGGGACACGCCCAAGTAGGCGCGCGGCCAGGGCGCGCGGCCAGGAAGCCATAACTACCTGCAAAATTTTCTGGACCTTAAAAATTTTGGTACCAATCTCTTTAGCTCGATGAGAGGAATCGTTTAATGCTAAATTTTGAAAGATTCGAATCTCTTGGAGCAGGTTATGGCTTTGCGCCTACCTGGCCGCGCGCCTACTTGGGCTGTACCCCCTACTAACCGTTGGAATTTCTAAACTCTAATAATTCCCCTCGCTTGAATCATTCCCCATGCCACGGATGGGTTGAAAAAAATAATTCCCCAGTGGAATTAATCAAGTATATACAGTATACCTACTTTTTTCTCATACATAGTTGGTTGTCCGGAGATACCCTGAGACGAAGCAAAGATTTGAAAAAGGTTTTGATTAGTTTTTGATTAGACTCATAAACCTCTATGGTACGAACCTTCATTGAACTAATACACCTTATTTGGACTTTAAAACTTTCAGCAATAATTTTCAGGCAGAAAATGAATTTGAAAGCTTGTATATTTATCTAACAAGATGGAATGGTTCGGAGTTAATTAAGGAGAAACCGGAAAGGTGAAACAATTACAAATTGTTTTAGACAAAAATTATTTTTTAATTAAGCATCAGCGTTGAAAATATTTTATCTGTGCAAATAGCGGAAATTTGGTCTGAATCCGAAATTAACAGCGGAATTTTTATCCATTTTGTTACAAACAGCACTCATAATCATAGTGAATTTGAAATAAGATTTATTCGAAAATTTGGAGATAAGTTTTTTTGATTGGATTTTGTGATGTAATTAGAGACCTAATTAAGGCAAAGTGACTTTTCTATTCAAAGTTTATTCCATCAATTCGTATACTTCATTTCCGTATACACACAAACCTCCCAAAAGCCGAAACTTTGACTGGCCATAACTAGGCCATAAGTCACTGAAAAAACCCTTTTCAGATTTTTTCGAACCTATTTTGCCACATAAAAAACCAAAATAGGAGTCTATCTCTCAATTTTCGGACTTAAAATGTAAGACTTTAGTTATGAGCAAGTACCCTTTTGTTCATATCCCAGTAGAAACGATTTTGCCAATCTCTACATTTTATTAAAAAATTTTTTTCAAACAATAGTACTTATCAGCCATGCCCACAACCTTTTTATTTTGCATCCAATTCTCCTCAATATCTTCCAATATTACCTCTAAAATACAAACAGACATGCCTCTTCTCTATAAATTCAACACAACCAATAAAACTTAAAATCAACCGTGACAACAAAACAAAGTTTGGAGTTAAGGTACTAATTCATGACTGTCAATGGTCATGTTTGTTTCAAAAATTCTGTCTGTCACGATCTCTGGTTTTCCTTAAAATCCTAAAGTTCTCGAAAAAAGTTGAAAGTTTTTTGGGGAGAAAGTAGTGCTCAGTTGGCCCTTTACTTTAGGCGCTCAGAGTGAATAAGCAGCAGATGCGGCAAAATTTTTGGATATCTGAAACAGGAGCCGGACCGAAGATTTCGGACTGGTGCCGCATATCTTTTTCTCTCTCTTTTCTTCAATATTTTACTGCACAAGAGCCTCTATCGCTTTATTTTGATTTGTGGGAGACAAATTTTCCGAGTAACCTAAACCTGGGTACACCCCAACTTACCGCGAGCCCAACTCGTCGCAGAGCTATAACTTCGTTCAGAATTGTCGAATCCGGCGCATCCTGGTATAGTTCGATTCAGCTCGTCGAGACGCATCGAATCATACCAAGGCGTACAGGATTCGACAATTCTGAAAGAAGTTATAGCTCTGCGGTAAGTTGGCCTGCTCCCCCTAAACCTTGAATTTATTCTATGGGCCCTTAACGTTGCTAACTTATCAATAAAAAATTTTGAATATTTTTAAGGTTTTTGAAAATGGCAGTTCTTCTGATCTAAATGAGAAAGATCAAAAAGGACAATTGTTGGCAAAGTTTTAATAATAAAAAAGTTAAACAATCATTTAAATTTCTTAGAATTGAAGACTGGAAAGATCCTTTTCTTTGGTTGAAAAAATTTCCTTTAATTTTAATTATAACAAGTAGAACTAAATCTGTGAGTGTATTAATTAGTTCATATGATCAAGAATATAGTATTTTTCCGTATAAAATTGAATATGTTGCTGTTGAACGTATGATATCATTTAAGTTATTTAGCCCAATATTTTTTGTCTAGAAACATTTCGGCTCTCACTTAATCCTAATGTCCTTAAATCTTTCTAATCCATCTATATTATTTTTAAACATCTCAAATCCTCTGGTATTTTTCTTAATCCCCGCAAATCCATTTTATACCTGTTAATCCGCAAATATCCTCTTAAGATCTTTAATTTCGCGGGATATATGTATGCGGGATATCAGATGATTGTGAGTAGGAATCCCATGACATTCTTAAGCTTAATCGGGAATATCAGGAATTTGAGGAGAGGGATTTTGAAATTCCAAAAACTGAAATTTTGGAAGGTCAAGAAGCCAGATTTCTATTTGTTCTAGCGCCGCAGGCAAATATTTTCGATATTTGATAGGCTTAAAAGCCAGATTTCTTTACTTTTGAGCTCCACCGGTGAAACTTTGAAAATTTTTGAAGTCCAGATTTGAAGTACAAATTCTTCAAATTTCCCAGTACCGAAAAATCGGTACTACCGCGGTATTGGAAACCTCTTCGGTTCCGTACCGGTATCGGTAGTACCGAAAAGTACCTATTCGGTACTTTTCGGTAGTAACGCGGTAGTACCGAACCGTGCCGAACACTAATTTTAAGGAGATATCGAGGGATTTGGGAGGATAAAGAGGGGGGGGGGCTTGAGGAGCGAAACGCACGGCATGAAATGAAGTGTACCGCTTTAATTTCATGTGACGCATAAATTTGTTTAACACGCATATCCTCAACAAGAGCCTCTAGTATTTTTAAATAAACATCTAAATTTTTTTCAGCATGTCAATGCTTTCCAAGTAATTTGACAGTCAGTCGAGATCAACCATTATCTCTACTCTCACAAGGCTTTCCGTCAGGATATTGTGGCAATTTTACTTGTTCAACACAAATTTCTTTAGAAAATCCACTCAATACAAGCGACTATGTGGAATCTCTTCAAATTCAATTTAATTCCTTCCAGACTGATTCCAAAACAGAGCCTTTAAATTTACAAATACCTTTTGGTGATGAAAATAAAGAGCTTATACCGTATGCTTTTATGATGACTCTTGGAGTGTCTCAGTTAGAATAAGAGCGGATATTAGGGATTTATGGTGATTAATGTGGATTTGAAAGGAAAATCCATATCAGAGGATTAGGATGGACATTAAAGGATTGTGGTGATCTGGATGGATCAAGAGGATTAGGGTTGCCGTTTTCGAGTTGGGCCGACGTTCGAGGCATTTTTTCAGGATTGTTTTTATCGAGTCGATCGTCGCGAGTCATTTTCGGACCAAACTTCTAGGCCCGACTCGATCTTTCGTTCTGAGTCTGTCCATTTTGGCAACACTAAAGAGGATATAAGGGGATTTGGTTTGGTAATCCAGAATTCATTCATATAACTACTAAAGTATATACTAAAAATTATTTATTTAAGTTTTGGAGGTGATGCACAAAATATAAAATTTTTTACTTTTGATTCACCAAAATTTAATTTAAATTTTACTACTAAAATTGTACAAGTTGTTGCAGGATTTAATTTTACAATTAAACGTATTAAAAGAAATAAGGGTAAAAAATATTTTAAAAATAATTTAAAAAATATTCGAAGAATGTTTATGTCATGGAACTGATAGCAATCTAAAAATTTTGAATGGACAAAAGGATTTGGTAGAATATACTTTTGATGGTGAAAGATGCACTTTCATGGACTGTTTTTGGGAAATTCAACCTCCAAATGTTTGTTAAACACAATCAGAAATTAAAATACTTAAGTATTTGACTTATTTCGAAGTGATTTCGAAGAAATTTTGTACAGATATCTGAAATAGGGTTATCTAACCCCTTTTAAATTTCAAAATTTTTGGTTGAATACTTCAGAAATTGTGGTGTTTAGAACTCGGAAATTTTGAAAAGCCTGGGCCTGTTCCTGGGTTCCGGGTTTGATTTATTGACCTGAGCCGGATCCTCGGCCTGTAGTCCAGGAAAAACCCAGGCCCAGGAAGGCCAAATAATGCCTGGGTCTAGATTCTGGAGACAGGAAAAACGCAGGCCTGGGTCCAGACCCAGGCCGATCTCTAAACCTTTTTCGACTTTATCATATTACTTAATGAGTGGCCTACTGTATTTCAGGACTCAAAAATTTACAGACGTCTTATTGTCAAATTTAATCTTTCTCATGTTGATGATGGAAATATTTTTACATTTTGTTACAAAATTCAAGCATCTCGTGGCTGTTCAAAGTATCTTTTATGTCTAAACTACATGGGAATGCCGAACAAATTTTAGCAGACGAAAAACGAAAGTCGAAACGCCAAAAAGGGCGAAAATTCAGCGGAAACGAAAGGAGAAAAGGCACACACCCCAAGGCACCATCTAATCTTCATTATGGAAAGTAACCCATCTTTGATTTGGTTGTCTTATTGATTGTCTTATTGAATTGGGCTTATACCTAGAGTTGAGACCCAGACCGGATCCTGTTCGGATTTTCCGGATCCTGTAGTCCGAAATCCGGGTATTCTGATGCAACCGGATTTCCGGATTTTTCCCTACAATTCCCTCCAAGGGAATTTTCTAGTATAGCGTCAATAAATTTATTTTATCTCCAGGAGTGATTCAACAAACATTATTGATACTAAACATCGAGAAAAACCTCAATTTTTTGCTTACGAAATTCCTAGAAATATTCTTGAACGAGAAGATTCTGTGCGTGTTTGGTATCATCGTGAATCTGTAGAAATGATTAAAAATCCGAATATTCCAAGACAAATTGATATTAATTATGAGTGGATAGAACGTAACAATTAATTGTTTATTAGGATAACTATCATAATTTCAACTAATAATTAGGGTATGGATTTTTAAGTTGTAAAAACCTTAGAATAAGTACCCAATAATGCATATATAAGTACCTAAATAGTGCATATATCTCGTGCACATTTGCACATCGGTGCATATTTTGGGAAATTTTGCATATTTTGGCAATCCTAAATAAAAAATAGAGGTAGATTTGTATAAATAGGACTAGATTTGTATAAAATAATTTATTATAGATAAAAAATTAGATAATGGAGAGACTTAACAACGGATTGGAAAGATAATTTGAAAATTTATATGATTTTACAAAGAATTTCAATTTTGAATAATTATGATTTTAAATAAAATTTTCAATAAGTTCAAGTTTATTATCATTAGTTTATGCTTTAATAATTACCCTTACTCTATAATTACTCTCTCTTTTATCAATTTCCCCTCCAGTGAAAGAAGGAAACAATAAATACCTAGGGTAATTAGTTGAGCTGAATACGGAATTTCAAACTTTTTAAAAAGATATACCATATTATCTCTTGCATGCTGTGGAAAAATTCATTGGATGGGAGATGGAATTGAACCATCATGGAAAGGGCCCAAACCGAAGCACTCCCTGTGCCACCATCCAACCCGATTAAGGGTTACATTTATATTCTTTCTGCAAGTGCGGATAATTTTTATAATTTCTATTAACTCCTTATATTTCTCCCCGTTGGAATATTATTAAACTATTGTAAATAAGAACATCCGCAAATCTTCGTATCGGTTCCTAAAAAGCAAAAAATATGGCTCCTTGGTCTTCTAAAATTCTCTAAAATGGATTTGAGTGTAGAAAGATTTGAAAGCATTTTTTCATTTTATTTTAATGAAAATTAAAATTTTATTATATGTTTCCTTGCTCAAGGAGAAGGAGCATTAATATGGGTGAATTTCTTTTCCCATCTGTGTTAAATAGAAATACAGCACATCAATTTGGTCGTATAGTTTATTATATTGTCTAAATTAATTTAAAAAATTAATCTAAAATTAATTTAAAAATTAGATTAGGAAATTGATACGAGCCATCAAAACAAATATTTTCAGTTCTAAGTTCCCCCATATGTGGCCGACTTGTTCAAAATTTATTCGTTGTTAAAGTGCTCTAGGGTCACAACAAATATTTTTTATCCTTAAAAAATTATAGATCCCAGTGGAATATTAAAAGAGATAAAATTCAAAAACATCTACGTGCTAAATATGATGAAGCAATAGCATGAGATGCAGCCAGCCAAGGAAGTTAATTATGAACTCTATATAAATGTTATCTCTGAAAGTCAGTTCTGATATCTGCCAAGTTCTTAATATATATTTTTCCAATTATTTTTAAATAAAATTAAAAATTTAGGGAAGCAACGAATCCCATCTTAACAAAAAAAGTAAAGTGATAGATAACTCAGCTAATATTTCTAATCAAGCAAACAAACATGAATCAGGATTTGTAGTTCCTAAGAACTTTCTGGATCGAAGCAAAGGGAAACAATTAGAGTCAACTGGTAAACGTCAAAATGCTGGAGATATCTCTCAAAATGCTGGAGATATCTCGAGGACCGTGGGTCTCTATCTAAAATCAGTTCCCTATCAAAAAATTTATCATAAATTTAGCTCAATTAAATTTAGTTCAAATAAGTAAAAATTTAGTCCAATCTTTTAATTGTTTCGCTGATGCCCACTAACAAAAATTACTTTATTACCACTAAAAAATATTTCAAAAGTTTAAAAATCTTTTATTTTTTAAATAATTTTTTTTTCATTCAATCATACATATTTAATCAAGATAACACTTTATTTATACAAAAATAATTTTTTCGTTTGTTTATTTTTTTAATAAACAATAATAATAGACATTTAATGAACAGACGATTTTTGTTATTTAATATGCTTATTTTTTGTTATTATCTTTAATATTATAGCTAGAGTATGAACCAAGACACGAATTGTATCAAAAATACCTTTTACGCGATCGAAATTTTTCGAGATATCGGTCTAGATTCTCATACGACCCCCAAGTTATGTATCTAATTATAAGTAGAGTTTTAGACGGTACTACAATACCAACCGTAGTACGACTTGCAGACCGACATTTGCGGATGTGGATCGGGTACTGGATCCGGATATCCGAAAAATTTTGGATTTGATACCTTATCTAGATATCAATGGATTCCTAAGCATCCGTCAACCTTAATCGTAATACTTTTTAGAAATGATTTACTATAAGCTAACATTTATTTTGCTTCATCTACAGTTATTAATTTCCATATCTGCCGAATCTTCTGATAGCAACAATGATGGATCCTGTCCTAAAGAAAAGATTTTTGATAGTAATGTAAAACGGGGTGTAATTAAAAGCCCTGGATGTGAGTATTGGAATAATCTTTTATTATGAATATTTTTCTATTATAGACTCCACCGAGGGCAGTGATTTACTTGATTGTAAATGGAACATTCTACCAGCAGAAAATACCTTTATTTTTTTTGAATTTAATTTATTTAAGGTGATCCGATTTAGTTTAGCATGTAGCCATATGAAAGTTTATTAGTCAATACAAAGTTTACAAGTCTATTGTAGGTTTTTGAATCAACTAAATGTCCAGACAAATTTGACTCTGTTAAGCATAAATTCCACTGTTAATCCCCAAATTCAATCATATTTGCTCCTAATACCTTTATATCCTCATAAGACTCAACTTTTTAGCGCCTCAGGCGAAAATTTTTAAAATAAAAATTTCGGTTCCGGATCCGGATATCCGAAATTTTCGGTTCGGATACCGGATCCGGATATCCGAAGATTTCCAACTATCCGCCAACCTTATTGGGGATGGGTAGGAATCACGAATTTTTTCACTGCCGGATTGTCTGGGAGCCAGCAATGATTAGAAAAACGTGTCTATACTCAGCACAATATGTCTGGACACATAAATTTTGATTAGACTGATAAACTGTTATGTAACTCATAAACATTCATTGGACTAATAAACTTTAATTAGACTTGATGAACTTTCAGCAACATTTTCAGGCTGAGGAAAGATTTGACAACTTTGATGTTTATCTAACAAGATGGAATGGTTCGGAGTTAATTAAAGAAAAAAAGGAAAGGTCAAACAATTATAAATTGTATTAGACAAAAATTATTTTCTAATTTAGCCTCAGCGGTGAAAATATTTTAACTAAACATATAGCATTTATTTGGTTTGAAGCAGAAGTTAACAGCGGACTTTTGTTCCATTTTGTTACAAACAGTAATAATCATAGTGAATTTCAAATAAGTTTTATTCGAAAAGTCGGAGATAAGTTTTTATTTTTGAATTTTATAATGTAATTAGAGGCTTATGTATTTAAGTCTTTCAGTAAAGCATCTTTGCCTGTAAGTGAGAATTCGATAATTTTTTACAATTCGTTAAAGGATTGCCGACTTTCGGATATAGTATAGTATACCGGAGGCAAAATTTCGATACGAAACACATACCATCGATTCGTCTCGGCGAGCTGAGTCGATGGTACCACTCACCCCAAAATTGTGCTTACTCCCCCCCATGGTTTTTTGATTTTCAGGGACCTATATCTAGGTTTACAGGCGTTTCCGTGAATAGTGAGCGTACTGTTCGACTCAGCTCCCCGAGAGGAATCGAATGGTATGTGGTTCATATCGAAATTTTGCCTCAGGTATACTATACTACAGCCCGACTTTCTATTGCGAAGTGATTCTGTATTGATATCTGTATTGCGAAATGACATAATAAGGGCCGAGCACTGGCCATTAAAGTTTATTTCCTCATTCCGTATACTTAAAATAGGCCAAAAGTCATAAAAGAAAACTGAAAAAATCTTTTTCAGACTTTTCCGAACCTATAGTAAAGCAGCTGGGCTATAGCTATTTCTCTCCTTTAGCTAGTGCAAAAGGTTATTCGGCGGCTGGGAGCGAACCAGCATCTTCACTAGAGCGGACTGATGTGTTAGCATTACACCACGCCTCCTACTGCTCAGCCTTAGTAAATTAATAGCTATATGCTTTACACTATTTTACAACTTAAAAACCTAAAATAAAGCCTATTTCTCAATCTTTGGATTGAGAAATAGGCTTTAGACTCTAGTTATGAACATTAGACTCTAGTTATGAACAGTACCTTTTGTTCATATCCTTCTGAAAACGATTTTGCCGTTCTCTACATTTAAAAATTTTTTTCAAACAATAGTACTTATCAGCCGTGCCCACAACCTTCTTATCTTGCAACCAATTCTCCTCAATATCTTCCAATATTACCTCTAAAATACAAACAAACATGTATCTTCTCTATAAATTCTACATTGCCAATAAAGCTTACAATCAACCGCGACATCGAAAGAAAGTTTGGAGTTAAGGTAATAATTTGTGACTGTCAATGGTCATATTTTTTTAAAATTCTGTCTGTCGCGATCACTGATTTTCTTAAAATTTTAAGTAATCACGAAAAAAGTTAAAAATGTTTGGAGAGTATGTTAGTGCTCAGTTGGCCCTTTTACTTTAGGCGCTCAGTGTGAATAGGGGCTCGGATATCTCAAACATGAGACATACCAATGATTTCGGACTGGTACCGTATACCTTTTTCTCTTTCTTTTCTTCAATACTTCACGGTGCAAGAATCTCTCCTTCAATCTCTCCTTTCATTTGCTTCGTGGGGAATAAGTTATCAGGGTAACCTCAACCTTAAATTTATTCTACGGGCTCTTAACGTTAGGATTTGGTAGGATAAAGAGAATTCTTTATTTTACTTAACAAGAAAAAATTTCTTTAGATTTTTGAAAATGAAACTTCTTCTGATCTTTATGAGAAAGATCAAAAAGGACAATTGTTGGCAAAGTTTACCACTAAAAAATTAAACAATCATTTAAATTTTTTAGTATTGAAGGCGCGAGTTCTCCTTTTCAATCATCTAAATTTCCTTTAATTATAACAAGTAGAAAATCTGTGAGTGTAATAATTAGCTCATCTGATCAAGAACATAGTAAAGTTCCTTATACAATTGAATATGTCGCTGTTGAACGTATGTTATCATTTAAGCTATTTAGCAAAATATTATGTAACTAGAAACATTTTCGGCTCCGGCGAGAAGATGCGCCCTCCACCAAATGCCCCCCAGAACAAAAACCAACTCAAAATGTCTTAGCCCAAAAATGTCCCATCTTAATAAAACAGAGTAAAAGTACTCAGTTAGCCGAACTATAAATTAAAGTGAGGTTAACCCACTTGACTACAAGGTATCTTTGGAAATCATAAATTTTGTCAGTTTCATATTAATATACTTTAAGATGTTTTTTTTTGAGAAAAATACTTAAGGTGGATATAGATGGATTGGATGATCTTAACAAGATATTGAGGGATTTGGGTGGATAAAGAGGGAGGGGCATGAGGAGTGAAACGCACGGACTGAAATAAGGCGTACTGATAATGTGTTTAGCACATATCCTCAACTAGAGTCTCTTTATATTATTCCTAAATAATACTAAAAATTTTTTTCCAGCTTGTCAATGCTTTCCAAATAATTTGACGGTCACTCGAGATCAGCCATTAAATTTACTCTCACAAGGCTTTCCGTCAGGATATTGTGGCAGTCTTAATTGTTTAACACAAATTTCTTTAGAAAATCCACTCAATACAAGCGACTATGTGGAATCTATACAAATTCAATTAAATTCTTTCCAGACTGATTCCAATACGGAGCCATTAAGTTTACAAATACCTGTTGGTGATCTAAATAAAGAGCTTATATCGTAAGCTTTTATGATGACTTTTGGACTTTGACTTTTTGACCTTGACTTTTTGACCGTTATTATTAGAATAGAGCTGATATTAAGGGATTTATAGTGATTGATTTGGATTTAAAAGGATAACGGCCATATCAGAGGATTTGGATGGTCATTGGGGGATTATGGAGATCTGGATGGATTAAAAGGATATAAGGGGATTTGGAGGAAATAAGGGAATTTGGAGTGGATGTAAGTGGATTTGGAGTGGGTATAAAGGAATTTAGAGGATATAAGGGGATTTTGAGGAGATAAGGGGATTTGGGAGTGGATATAAGGAGATTTGGTGGATATAAGGGATCTTGGAGTGGATATAGGGAGGTTTGGAGGATAGAAGGATTTGGAAACAAGAAGATATAAGGGGATTTGAAGTGTTAATACGTAAAGAATCTCGAATTCATTCATATAACTATTAAAGCATATACTACTAAAAATTATTTATTTAGTTTTGGAGGTGATGCACAAAAAATAAAATTTTTTACTTTCGATTTACCAAAATTTATTTTAAAATTTACTACTAAAACTGTACAAAATGTTGCAGGATTTAATTTTACAATTAAACGTATTAAAAAAGATAAGGGTAAAAAATATTTAAAATGTCAAGGAAAATAAAAAAATCTTTCAAAGAATGTTTATGTCATGGAACTGATAGCATTCTAAAAATTTTGAATAAACCAAAGGATTTAGTAGAATATACGTTTGATGGTGAAAGATGCCAATTTATGGACTGTTTTTGGGAAATTCAACCTCCAAATGTTTGTTAAACAAAATCAGAATTTTTTAATCAAAATGCATTAGTATTTGACTTAAAGACTTATTATTTCGGAGAAATTCTGTCAGATATTAACATAACGTCACTCTTAAAATTTTTCGGAATTTTTGGTTAAATATTCTAGCATTAGGCAAAAACCTCAACCAAAATTCTGAAATTTTAAGCGGAGATAAGTAGCACAAAGAATACAAGTCAAAATTTGACAATTTTATTACCTCATTTGACTTTTCACAACTTAATGAGTTTACTGTATTACAGGACTCAAAAATTTACGAACGTCTTATTGTCAAATACAATTTTTCTCATGTTGATGATGGAGATATTTTTAATGTTTGTAACAACATTGAAGGATCTCATGGCTGTTGGAAGTAGCTTTTCTAAACTACACGGGGTGTGCCGAAACAGATTTTAACAAACGAAAAACGAAAGTCGAAACGCCAGAAGGCGAAAATTCTACGAAAAATAAAAGGAAAAAAGGCACACCCTAAGGCACCATCTAATCTTGATTATCGATAGTACCTATTAGTGTTGTTGGCGGTCGGTTAACCGAACCGAAGACCAGTGTTTTTGGCCAATAAACCGAAAAACGTTGGTCAAAAACCGGCGATAACCGAAAACCGAGGGTACCGGTTATTAACCGGTCGCCAACAACCCTAGTACCCATCTTTGGATTTGTTGTCTTAATGAATCTTAATTTGAAGTATTAGATTGGACTCTTACCCATGGTGTTTATATTATTCCATCTATGATATCCTCCAATGGAATTTTCTATACATTTAATTTTCAGATATGATTCATCAAGTCTTATTGGTTCTAAACATCGAGAAGCTCATTTTTTTATTAATGATGTTTCTAGATTTATTCTTAAACGAGATGCTTCTGTACGTATTTGGTATCATCGTGAATCTGTAGAAATGCTTAAAAATCCGAATATTCCAAGACAAATTGATATTAATTATGAATGGATAGAACGTAACAATTAATTATTTATTAGGATAACTATCATAATTTAACTAATAATTAGGGCCCTGAATTTTAGATTGTAAAAACCTTAAAATAAGTACCTAAATAGATTGTATCAAAATAGGCCATCCAAAACAAGCAATGTTTTGTATGTATGCCGTAGGGATGCTCGGGTATCCGACTCGGATTAATTTCCCGAGTTTTTGGCCTCCCGATCCATACTCCCGATGTCATTTCCCGACTAAGTCAGGAAATTTTTACACCCCTACGAATTGCTTTTTTGATAAAATTATATTTTTATTTATCGCCTGCAGTGCTGAAAAAGGGAGAAATTTGGTCACGACTCCGAGGCCATTTCCCGACCCAACTCCCGTTTCCCGAGTTTTTTCTTCTCCCGAGCATCACTAGTATGCAGATATGCATTGAATTGGGAAGCCTAAACTATGGTCCGAGAATTTTAGGACTCGGTAATTACTGCATACATTTATATATTTCGGTCCTCTCGAGCTTATTTGTACATCGGTGCATATTTTGGGAATAGATTTACTATTGTAAGGAAGAGAAAGAGAGAAAGATCCAGCTGGCTAGCATTTAAAACGCTCACTAGGCGGGGGTTTAGGATCTATTAAGCGAGAATGTGAAAACAGCGTCCCGGTAGCTCAGTTGGTAGAGCACCTGTACGTGGCGAGCGAAAGCGCCTAGCAATAACTGCCAGGAGGTCGCAGGATCGAAGCCTGCCCGGGATTAAACTTTTACCTCGCTCTTACTCTATTAATTGAATGATCTATTTTAATCATAAAATTAGATAAACATCCTATATTTCTTAAAACGTCCGTTGTTAATTTCGTGCTTTATTGCCTGAAAGTGTTGGGAAGCTGAACGCGAAGCTGCACATAATAGTAATGAACGAACATTACAAAAGATTGGAAAGATTTTTAAAAATTCACATGATTTTACAACAAATTTTAATTTCAAATAATTATGATTTTCAATAAATTTTAAACCAGTTCAATTTTATTCTGACTAGTTTATGATAAAATAATTATACTTCCACAGATAATTACTTCCGCCTTCATCAATTTCCCCTCCAGCTAAAGCCTAAAACAATAATTACCTAGGGTAATTGTTGAATGAATAAGGTATTTCAAAAAAGAATTTTAAAACCAACAGGTAGAGACAATGCTTTTAATCATTTTCAATGAGCTAAGCTCATTTTTTAAATTTACACCCGATTGAATATTAAAGTTTAAATCTTTGTAATAATTTTTTATTTTTATTTTTTTTAATTTTAATTTAATTTAAAATAATTAATAATATATTATATAGAAAAGAAAAAAAAACAAAATTAAAAAAAAAGTTATTAAAAAAAATTTTTTTTTCATAAAAATTGTTAGCATTTTGAATGTAATCTCTTTAATTCAGCTACTTTTCTAGTTGTTCTAACTTTAATTGTATACACATATTTTTAACAGTTTAGTAGAACAATGCATTCCAGGACAACAAAGTTGTTCATTTTTCGCACAACTTTTACCAAATTCAATACAATAACAAGTTGCTATACTATTCTTTTGCCATATACAACTGATACCATTACAGCAATCAATTTTATCACAGCCCTTTTCGTGATTTTTAAGACAACAATTAATTGGTTTACATAATATAAATAAATTGAAAAATAAAAATAGAACAAGAGAATTATTGTTTAGAGTAGCCATTTAAATTTTTTCTGAAAAATTTATGTATAGCACAATTTTAACATGATTTTATATACTGTGTCATTATTAGGTATCGGATTTATATTGAAATAAAATCGGAAAATATGGCCATAAAATATTTAAACAAAATGGCAAAATATTGACAAAAAATGCCAAAAATTAGCTAAATATTGAAATAAATTATTGTTTATTATAATAATCGGGATCCATATAAAGCTCATATCCTCCTTAATCCCTCCGAATCCGCCGATCTCCAAGCTTTTGTGAAAGAATTTTAGAGACTTAAAAGAATGGACCCAACACACAATTTCTCTCCAAAGGAGAGAAATATCCCTCCAAAATTCCTGATATCCACACTTTTAGACAGATTTTGGATGTGTATCAGAGACATTATTTTCAATATTTTGGATAAGAATTAAAATTATTAAAATGATAGATGTTTTGCTAATCTTTACCAGCATTTTATATAATGCCCATATAAGGCGTAATGTACTGATCTTTATGAGTAATTCCAATCTACAAACTACTGAGTTTTAAATAAACATAATCTCTATTCAAAAAACACAAACAAAAATTTGAGAATGGTTACCACTTTACCGCAGAGGGTTGAATGAAGCCCTAAAAATTGGTTAAAATTATGAGGCAAAAGTTGGCTCTGCGGTGATTGTGGAGGTATATAGTTAAAAAAATAAATGCAATCAAAAAGGATTAGGAATTCCCATTTATAATTTTGCAAATAACTTCGTAATATTTTACCTTAACTCACGAGTAATGCAAAATTCAAAAATAAAATTTAATTAAAAAAGATAAAATAAATAAAATAATTTTAGTTAAATTCTGATTATTATAAATTTAGACTTAATAATTTTCTTATCTTTTCAATTATTTTGAAATCAGAATATTTTTAATTTTCAAGTGTTTGAACACCAAAACTTCAGAACAACAAAAAAAACATGTTGATGATAGTAAAGCAGCTGGGCTATAGCTATTTCTCTCCATTAGCTAGTGCAAAAGGCTATTCGGCGGCTGGGAGCGAACCAGCATCATCAGTGGACCATAGCCTTAGGAAATAAATAGCTATTGCTTTACCTGATTTGTAATAATAAACGAGATTCTTTCTAACTTTTTTTTCAACTATCTTCTTAATAATGATTAAATAAATTATTTAAATTAATTGATTAAACAACTATTTTTTATTTTATTATCACTAAAAATTTTTTCAAAAAATTTCATAAATCTTATTTTTTTAATATTTTTTAATTCAATCATATTTAATCAAGATAGCACTTTATTTAGACAAAAAAATTTTTTCGTTTGTTTATTATTTATTTTATAAACAATAAGTAATAATATACTTTTAATGAACAGACGATTTTTTTGTTATTTAATATGCTTATTTTTTATTATTTTTTATTGAAGCTAGAATATTATAGATAGTGTCTCGGCAAATACACAATAAGATCTAAGATACCATTTACGAGATAGAAATTTTTTGAGATATCGGTCTGATTCTCGTACGACCCTCAAGTTATGTCTCAATTATAAGTAAGGTCTGTTACTACACTACTAACCGTAGCACGACTCTTAGACAGACATTTGAGGATGCGGATCGGAAACCGTATCCGGATATCCGAAAATTTTTAGATTTGATATTCTATTCGGATATCTATCGATTCCCCAGCATCCTTCAACCTCAATCGAAATACGTTTTAGAAATGCTTTACTGTAAGCTAACAGTTATTTTGCTTCATCTACTGTTATTAATTCTAATATCTGGCAAATCTTCTGATAGCAACAATGATTGTTCCTGTCTTAAAGAACAAATTTTTGATAGTAATGTGAAAGATGGAAATAATAGTAATTTTAAAATTTTGAATGAAAAAAATGACTCAGTTCAATTCACTTTTGATGGGGTAAAGTGCAATTTTCTGGATTGTTATTGGGAGATTCAACCTCCAAAAGTTAGTTAACTCAAATCAGAATTTTTGAGCAAAATACAGTATACATACATTTGTATAGGATTCAAAACTCTACCACTACATCATTGTTAAAATGAATCTTTCACATCCCGATGATGGAGATTTTGTTGAGGAATGTGACACAAATTTCAGAACTGGATCTCGTGGCTGTTCTAGGTATCTTTTTATGTTAAGGACCATCCAATCTTCGTTTTGGATGCTAACTAGTACTCAGAATTTTGTACACTGCTGTATTCTGTACTGTAATACCAATAAAAATTTATCTTTAATTCATACCTATATTGAAAACTAATTAACAAGAAGATTAATAGGAGTATATGGTGGGGATTTGGTGAGATTAATAATATTGAACAGTAATGTGCCGTTTCGCATTTCGTGGTTTGATTTTAAATCGACTTTCGATCTTTAAAAGTATCCTGATATCAAAAGATTATTGGGTAGAAAAAAAATCGGAGGATTTTGGAGGTTAAGAGGTTTTGTATTTTGGAGATCTATTCCAATTATTATCCAATAAAATAATCCACAGAATAACTTTATACAAAATTTATCTTATTCACAGATATAATTCAAAAAACATTGGTTCTTCTAATGAAATTCTTGTTAATGATGTTTCTAGATTTATTCTCAAACGAGATGCTTCTGTACGTGTTTGGTATCATCGTGAATCTGTAGGAATGATTAAAAATCCGAATATTCCAAGACAATTTAATCTTAATTATGAGTGGAGAGAAGGTAATTGATAAATTTTTATTAAAATCCACTCCGACCTCATACTCCGTCCCCGTTCCTGAACGATTTTTTAATTTCTCTCCAAGCCGAACCGCAATCATATTTTGTTTCCCCCGAACCGAACCCCACCCTTAAATGATTGGAAAACCCTGTACCCTGACACGCACGTCACCGAGCGTTCGCGGTGCAACCCCAATTTTTTTCAGAATAAATATCATCAGACTAGCTTTAGTCTAAATTTAAATAATTTAAAATTTAAATAAAAAATTTAGAGCCACATCCTTTAATGCCTAAAAAGAGCTTCAACGATATATAGAAGCTGATCATGAAGCTGCAATCATCAATAATCGAATAAAAAATGAAAAATTTTTCAAACCTCATGTGATTTTTAAAGAATTTTGATTTCAATTTAAAAAATATGCATTTCAAATTTTCAATAAACTCAAGCTTATAAGTTTATTTTCACTACCAAATATTACCGAACATTTAAAAAAATTTTTTACAAATACTTGGAGACCAGAGATGTCATAGGTCGAGTACAAATTCGGATCGGTTTTCAGAGATTTCCTCGAATCGGGTTTCGTGTCCGAGTTTCAGGATTTCGAATAACCAGTGTCATTCCTGCTAAAGACTCTTTTAGAGATCGGGGTTTAGGGGGGAGATCCTTCGTACTTCGGGTCTGGATTATTCCCTAAAAATATTGTAGGAGAGTGATTTCTATCCTATTTGAACATTAAAAAAAGACATTGATTTTGCTATTTTAGAGATTTGTTTATAAATATTCACTACAGTGCGGTGCATATGTTTAGACTCACACACCTATCTTTGATTAAAATTTTAATACAATTTTTATACTTTAAATTTTTCAAATTTTTTTTTCTTTTTTATATAACATTTTAAATGTATTCTTATTACATAGGAAAATTCATTCCGGGAAAATAATTTTTATTTTTTTAGTTTTTTTGACTTAAGTGAACTGATGTCAAATTTTGCTGGTGCAAATGTTTAGACTCAAAATTTTAATCGAAAATATCTCGTAGTATAATGTCCCAAAAATTCTACAAAAATTCCAGTGGACATTTAAATTGATATAGAATAGAAATTAAAAAGAACGAAGTCCGTAACTTCATTCAATATCGAGTAACTTCATTCAACTTCGTTCTTTTTAATTTCTATTCTATATCAATTTAAATGTCCACTGGAATTTTTGTAGAATTTTTGGGACATTATACTACGAGATATTTTCGATTAAAATTTTGAGTTTAAACATTTGCACCAGCAAAATTTGACATCAGTTCACTTAAGTCAAAAAAACTAAAAAAATAAAAATTATTTTCCCGGAATGAATTTTCCTAATAAGAATACATTTAAAATGTTATATAAAAAAGAAAAAAAAATTTGAAAAATTTAAAGTATAAAAATTGTATTAAAATTTTAATCAAAGATAGGTGTGTGAGTCTAAACATATGCACCGCACTGTATTACATTTAAATAAAATAATTTATGCAACTGACTTTTCCTTCCTTCCTTCTCCCTCCCTACCTCCCCCCCCCCAGTCCTAGTACAACAAAACACATTTTTCCCATCTCTTTAAACAATGATTCATTTAAATGTTTATTTGATCTGTATTAAGTCAGCTAAATAAACTAAAGATTTTTTTGAATAAATTTGTGTTCTGGACCAATATTTTACATAAAGTGAAAATATAGAAAGTAAATTTACTCTTGAAATATTATTTAGCGATAATTTATTCATTCAATTTTTTAAGGCAAAATATATTTTTTTATTCAATCACACTAAATAAAAATATTTTTCAGTTATTTATTAATTCTTTTAATTAATAATAATTTCCATTTAATTAGAAAACGATTTTTATCCTTTAAATTTATAATTTTTTGTTAGTTTTGTGGAAACTTTAATTAAAAATTATACATAAATAAAATAATTAGAATTTCAAGTTTATTTACTCTAGAATAATCAGAATTCGTTTTTTTCTCTCTAGAATAATCAGAAATTCGTTTGATTAAAAATCAGAATTAAAACAGAATTTAATTTAAGTTTAAACTTGAATTAAAACTTGAATATTAAGTTTAACTTTAATATTCAAGTTTTAGGTGTAGATTAAGTTTAGACTAAACTCTTCAAGTTGTCACGTTTTTTAAGTTTAATTAATTCAAGTTTTAAATATAAATTATGTACTATTTAGTTTTAAGTTTAAACTTCAATTCAAGCATAAATTTAAGTTTAAAGTTTAATTTATGTTAAAACTTTAATTAAAGTTTTAAGTTCGAACTAGTTCTTTCAAGTTTTAAGTTTATTGTATTTAAGTTTAATTATTCTAGTTTATGTGCCTCTAAGTTTAATAAACTCAAGTTTTAAGTGTAGTTTAAAAAATAATTTTTTCAAGTTTAAACTTAAATTAAAGTTTATTAAATTACCGTATTTTTTGTATTAGAGCCCCATGGGGCTCTATTTTTCAACTATCCTTCAAAGTGGGGCTTTATTACAGCGTGGGGCTCTAATAGAGCGTGGGGCTCTATTTTTCAACCAATTTTTGAAAATATATAAGGGAATTTTCAATTATAATTAAGGCTGTAATATGTATATAGGCAACTGCCTATTTTTTACTCAAATGGTGAAATTTGTCACAAAAATAAATTTCACCATTGTGATATTTCTAAAGTTAATAGTTAGCGTGTACAGTTTGGCACGATTAAGTGGATTTGAGGTGGATTTAAAGCCGAATTTTATTTTGTGGTGGTTCGAATCCTATCGAGCCTTTCGATTACTATATGTATTCTGCTTCAGTCTGCACGGTCACTCCGTGTATATATCTCGGTTTAGTCCCAATTGAAGAATATAGATGTGATTAAGAAGGTATTTGGGGATTAATAAGGATATCGAGTGGTTTTGAGAGTATAAATGATTTGGGGATTAATCGGATAGCGGAGGATTTCTGAGATGAATCTGCTGATAACTAGGCTGATCTCGCCAATATTTATGCTTGCCAGTATATAAAAGAATCTCTGATATCTCCTATAACATCCAAATTCCTCTATTGTAGAGGATTTGGAGCAGCTTAAGGTGTTATTTATCCCCAAATATCCTCTTAATCACATATAATATCTAGCATTGGCACAGAACATTAGATAAAAGGAAAAAACAGTATAGTATTAAAAATTAATAATTTATTATACAATAGGTAAATTTTAGAAAATAGGGCTCTATTTCAGCGTGGGGCTCTAATACAGCGTGGGGCTCTATTTTTCAACTATCCTTCAAAGTGGGGCTTTATTACAGCGTGGGGCTCTAATTCAACGTGGGGCTCTAATACAAAAAATACGGTATTCTGTTTTAAAAATTAGAATCAGAATTTGTTTAACTATTTCAAACTTACATACCTAATTTCGCTTTTTAAAAAAAACTTAACTCCCTTAACCATAATTCTGATTTTATTGACCAGAATATACTCTTTAAAAATGCCTTACTATAATCTACTATTTATTTTTCTCCTTCCACAATTATTAATTTTGATTGCTGAAGTCTTATCTACGGAAAATATTGATAGCAACAATGATTGCTCCTGTCCTAATGAAGAAATTTTTGATAGTGATTGGAGGAATGGTGTATTCAAAAGCCCTGGATGTGAGTATTGGAATAATTTAAAAATCAGAATAGAAATCAGAATATCAGAACTGTGTCATTTTATTCCAATTATTTTTTCCTTTATAGTCTCCGTCGAGAACTGTGATAATCTGGACTGTAAATGGAATATTCTACCAGAAGAAAATACATTTATTTATGCAATGGTGGAATCCTTTGATGTAATTTATTAATAAGTTCATAATTACCAAGTTTCAGATTGAAGGAGGAGATGACATTTTAAATGTTTATCAAACAAGCTGGAATGGTTCAACATTGTTGAAATTTCAAAGATCAAGGTCTTAAATTATTTTTGTTTTAAAACAAAAATTATTTTAACATTTAGTCTCAGCAGTGGAAGGTTTTATAATCCCTCTTATAATCTTCATCTTTCTTCTTCAATTAACGGAGGGCTTTATTTCCATTTTGTTGCAAACGGCATTAATCATAATCACACTGGATTTGAAGTTACATTTTCTCGAAGATCCGATGATGGGTTGCTTAAACTTTTTTATCACGTCTTAATAATTAGGGCTCGGATTAATGATCGGCTATCAATGATCGAATAATGACACTCTCAAATAATACTCTCAAATTCCACGAGGGGTTGAAACAATACTAAGTTGAAAAAATACCCTAAATTAAAATTTCCCTCTTTAGTAATGTAATTAAAATGCTAATGAACTCTGAAGCTTTGAGGAATTTTATTAAAAAATTTTTTTTCAAGCTTATCCCTAAACTTTCCATGTCCACAACCATTTTATTTTGCGACAAATTCTCCTCAACGTCTTCCAGCATTTCGTCTTAGAATCTTGGATGGATGCATCTTTACCATAAATTCTACACAAGCAATAAAGCTTAAAATCGAAAAAATCAACAAAACTTCAAAGTTTAACATATGGGTATGTAATAATTAGGGCTCGGATTTAAGGCGTTATTATTATTATCATTATTATTATTATCATAATTTATTATTATTATTGTTATAGTATACATATGTAGGCGAGATAATGTGATTTGAAAATTTTTTAGATTTTTGAAACTGAAAGTTTTCCTAATAACTATGTGAGACATCAAGGAGGACAGTTGGCAGAGTTCTAAATTTTAAAAAATTAAATAATTTTCTAATGATTTTTAGTATTTATGGATCTTCTGCTTCTAATTCATTTCCTTTAATTCTGACAAGTAGAACTGAATCTGTGAGTATATTAATTAGTTCGCATGATTTTGAAACTAATAATGTTTCTTATGATATTGAATTTGCTTCTGTGGAAAATGGTAATTTGCTTAAATATCCTAAAAACCCTTGCTTTATTAGAGGACTACTTATTGACAAATGAAAAATAAGCCTCGAGAGTTTCTATTAGCATATTTCGGATATTTACTGAAGTTGAACATTTCACATTACCGGGCCCGGTATCCGTGTTTCTTAAATGAACCGTCTGGAGTTTCCGGCCAACCCCTCTAAAACCCTGAAAACTCGAAAAACAGTTGAATTGAACCCGGTATTTTCAAAATTATTATAAACCTAAATTTAAGTTTTTTGCTAAAATTTCCTTATTTTTAATAGTAAAATCGAAAATTTGCGGATCTCTCTCAATACTTACTAGGAATGGGACGGGTAAAAGTTTCGTATCAAGGTTCAGATCAAGTTGAAAAAAGACCGGGTTTCGTGCAATCCTACCCATCCCTGATACCTACATCTTGAATCCTTTGTTTTGATTAACACAATTTTTATCGGAGGATTTGGAGAGATTAAAAGTGATATGACGGCTTTAATTGAATTCTGATAATTTCTAAATAAATATTAAACTTTTTTTTAGTTTGTGACTGCTTTCCAGATTATTTTTTGGTCAATCGTGTTCATCCATTAAATTTACTCTCACCAGGCTTTCCATTAGGATATTGTGACAAACACAATTGTTTTACTCAAATTTCTTTAATAAGTCCTAACAATACAAAAGAAATTGTAGAATGTTTACAAATTCAATTTAATTCTTTCCATACTCGAGTAAATGACTTTTTACGTTTAATAATGCCTGATGAATTGATCGGACTTATTATGTAAGTTTTATGAAGATTTTTGAAGTATCACATGTTTTTACTTTTTATATACAGGGTGCCTCAAAAGTCTTTGCCCGCATATTTTTTAGCATAACTTTATTAAAACTTAATCAAATAAGATCAAAATACAATCAAATAATAGAGAATTAAATGGAGAACAAAATAAATCAGGATTTTTCGAAATACCTTCCTTTAGCTTTAAGATAGAGGCGCAAACGCAAACAAAAATTTTTGCAAAATTGCCGCACCTAGTATGGTGTAATTTTTTCCCATTTCTGAACGAGTGATTGTCGGAGTGACTCCAAACTTTGGGGTTATTAAGCAAAGAACGTTGCCTCCAAAATTGCCAAAAAGATAAATCCAAGGATTCAAACACGGTGTGTACGGTAGCCATCTTTGAGGCTCACTAAAACTGAGAAAATTGGCAACAAGACAACCTTGCATCACTTTAGCCTTATAATCAGAGGATGAATTCTACTTATAGATCCAGTTTCTATACCAAAAGTTTTCCCATACCCAGTGCTCTAAAACATACTGAAGGATTTCGAGTAGATCAAAGTATTTATTTATTTTGATCCAAGGATTCATAAAAATCAAGGAATTTTGATCGTTTTGCAAATAACAGTACATATCATTTCGGGGTAAGGGTTTTGGAAATCCTTAACAACTGGATAAGAAAGAGGAGATTTTGAGGCCCAATATCAGTCATTTTTGCGATTCGCACATGTCTCTTTCATAAAAATTTTGGCATCTGAAAAGAGGAACCAAGAAGGTGCGGCAATTTTGCAAAAATTTTTGTTTGCGTTTGCGCCTCTATCTTAAAGCTAAAGGAAGGTATTTCGAAAAATCCTGATTTATTTTGTTCTCCATTTAATTCTCTATTATTTGATAGTATTTTTATAATATTTGATTATGTTTTAATAAAGTTATGCTAAAAAATGTGCGGGCAAAGACTTTTGAGGCACCCTGTATAAAATAATTATGGTTACTGAAAGGAATACGGTGCTGTACAAAATTCCAGGCCCTAGTATCAACTAGAGACAGGACTGGGCGTGTTGTACGAGAATCGAGACCAGATCTCGAAAAAATTTCGCCTTAGTAACCGAGATTTTCGATCGAAATCTCTTCTCGATTTGGTCTCTAGTATCAACCATGGGAATTTTTAAAAAATTTTTTTGTCGGAATTCAAGGTTAGGACACAACCCTTGCATAGATTAATAACATTTATCTTTCGTAAATTATGAAATAATTTGAAATCATACTGAAAATTATTTTAAATTAATAAAATTTTTAAAGTTTTAAAGGCGAAGCACATGAAATAAGCTTTTTTACACTTGATTCGTCAAAATTTAGTTTACATTTTATTACTAATGAAGAGGGTCTTGATATTGGATTTAATTTATCAATTAAATATATACAAAAAAATAAAAGTAAAATAAATTTTAAATTAGGTAAATGGAAAATAAAAAATTTTTTCAAAAAGAATGTTTATGTCATGGAACTGATAGCAATTTAAAAATTTTGAATGGAAGAAAGAATTCAGTGGAAAAAAATTTTTTTAGTGAAAAATGCCCTTTTATGGATTGTTTTTGGGAAATTCAAGCTCCAAGGGACTCTCGATTTTACCACCGTCTTATTATTAAATTCAATCATACACTGGCTGATAATAATAGAGAGTTTCTTGATTATTGTTCCAGTGAACCTAACGGGAGAAGTTATGACTGGCGAAGGTATTTTTACACGAAATAATTCATCTAAAAACTATTTAATCTAAAAACATTTTTTTCATCTAAAAACCGAAACATATTGGGGAAAGATTTTCTTTTGAAAGGAAAAAAGCGGATATTCTTGGCAGGGATTTTAAATTAAATAAGGATATATAAAGTTGAGGAAACCTCTCGAGTTAATAAAATTACATAAAATTAGTTGGACAATTTATTGAAAAGGAAAGTATCTTCTTGTAATTAGACGGGAAGAGTTGAAAGGATCTTTCCGTAATTCAACCTAGACATGTGTTAGGTTATTCCAAAACCCTTCTGAAGACGAAAAAGTGTTGGGTTATTAAATTAGACTTTATCTCTATGCTTATTACATTATCAAAATTATTATATTATATCCGAAGAGAAAAATTTATTTTATTTTAAGATCAAGTTCTTGGAAAACTTTTGAATTTCCAGTTGGTCATGTTTCTAAGTAAAATTAATTTAAAAATTATATTTTTGATATTATAGATCACCTTATTTTTTGAATCGAGGTGATTCGTTATATATGTGGTTCCATCGTGAATATTCTCCCTCTGATAAAATTATTGGCAATCACAATATTCCAAGAAATATTAATTTTAATTATGAATGGAGAGAAAGTAATTAATTTTTTATTATTTATCAGAATTATTTATCAGATTAACAGAATACAACAGAAAATTTAGTTGAAATAAGGGTTAGGAGAGTGATTATGGTAGGGTTATAGAAGCTTTGGAACTTTAATTCTGATGTAAAAACTTTATTTAATATCAGAATTCTGGTTTTTCTGAATAGTTTTATGAATTGCTGAATAATAACTGAATAATCTATTTAAATTTTAGAGTGTAAATGTGGAGATGCTCATTTGAAAGCTTACGAAAATGATTGGAATGTTTTATATTCTCCTGATTATCCAGAAACTTATTGCGATTCGATGAGTTGTTTGTGGCATTTAGAAGCTCCGGAAGGCTATCATATAGTAGTGAATATTTCAGAATTTTATACAGAACTGGATCATGATTTTTTGACAATTTTTGATGGAACAGATACAGAACAGGAACATATGGAAATGTTAATTTTAATTTAGAAATTCTGATTTTTAAAAATCAGAAATTTATTTAAAAATATCAGAATTCTGATAAAAGCAAATATCTGAAAACCCATAATTCTGATTCAATTGCCTATCTGAATACAGAACTAATTTCAGAATCTCAATTCTGATATAAAATAAAATTTAAATAGAAATCCGATTTCTAAGTAAATTCAAATTTTCAAAAGCTACTAATTTTTAAGGCTTTCTGGACGGATTACATTTAAAAACACAATACAAAGTAAACAAAATATAATAACAATTTCATTCCATTCTGATATTACTCTTCAAATGAGTGGATTTGCATTGTGGTACAAAGCTGGTAAGGTTTTCGGTATTTTTCCGTTATGATGCAGCACATAAAACATTTAGACATGGTTATGATTGTGGGCAAAATATATGTCATTCGAAAGAGCTCTCCGAGCTGAGTCGAATGACATCAAAATTATATGGGGCTCGGAATATTACTGGGTCTCAAAATCATCAAAAAATACACCCTCATAGGTGACCAATTTGAGCGTCTTTATTCCAGCATAAATTGAGATCGAGGGCTGATTTATGTGTCATTCGACTCGGCTGACGAGCTCCTTAGAATGACATAGATTTTGTCGATATTCCTGACTTTTTTTACACATTTTTAGTTGTGGGGCCATAACGGAAAAGTACTATGTAAATTTTTTTTCTAAAATCAGAATTAAAGTCAGAATTATATTTTTTTGCGAATTCAGAATAAACTCAGAATATAAGAATTTAATACTATTAAAAATCTGAAATTTATTTTTATTAAAATAGAATTTTAATTCATAAAATCAGAATATTATTTTTCTAGTCCAAAATGATGATTTTCTTCAAAATCAACAAACTTCCACAGAATTATCTTCTTCAAATAATTCTGCTTCAAATAATTCATCATCCTTTCACATTTCTATATTATTTATTTTGATAATTTTATTTTTAATTGTCGGAATTTTGTTTTTTATTTCTCGTTCTTTCAATTCAACAACAAATAATCGTATAGAAA